CACTTATGTAATTTCTAAAACATCTTTGTTCTTCCTGCCCTTTCAAATCTGGACTGGGCTTAAAGATCTCTTAAGGATTCATTATAGAATTTTATAGAGGCTTAACATCAATGATCTTGGTAAACTCCTAGTGCGCCACTTCTATAATCTTTCCTGCTTGTTGGGACCGTCTTCCCACCGTTCTCACGTCGTTAAACGAAATTCCATTCATGTTCCCCTCGCTGGATGATCACTGGAGGTGGCCCATTGATAGAGGGGAAGCGAACAGTTTAGGTTTCATTTTGTCAAATGGAAAGTTGGCCAAATGCAAATCGTTCGCCATAAAATATCCATAAATAGTTTAAATTAAATGATCTATCTAACGTTCGGTCAATCAAGGTACCAGCTTGGACATTGGTAAAGTGATGTTCCAACAGGGGGGAGCTATGGCAGCTAAGGCAGCTATGGCATTAAAACGATCGTAAAAAAAAAACTTGGATGATCTTTTAGCCAAAAGGGGGCAGGGCACGAGGCACGCTTCGGTTTTACGATCGGGGCCAATCAGGGGAATGACGAGCACGCAGCTAACAAAAATTATCCCCTGCAGCTAGGTGATCGTAACGAGAGACGCGCGGCCCCACACACGCAGCAGCTCGAAGATCTTCAAGATCTTTCACAGAGAAACCCAAACTCTAATCCACTGCCCAGACAGTCCCACAGGCCCAAAACCAATCAAGCTAAGGAAAAGAAGTTACTAAATTTGGTTACAAATTATGCACAAAACAATAGGGTTGCCCAAGATCAGGGGTGAGGATCTCATCAGATCATCGGGGCATAATGATTCAATCGGAGCGATCGTTTGATCTAGACATACCAGTCACCTTGATGGATGACCGAACACATTTAGCAGAAAAAAAGGAGTGCCGCGTCATGGATATTTGAACTGATCCTTTTAGCCCGAATCGAATGATCCTCAAAAGTCCCGAGAGGCACTGTGATTTCTCATTTCCTAACTCAAGTGGACGAGGACAAAGCGATCGACACTTGACACACTCGGACTCGATTGCAAAATCTCCGAGAATAGACCTCCACAGACTCGAGTCTCAAGTGCGAAGAGACGCTAGCTGTCGACTTATGAGGTAACCCAAAACAGCAAATTAAATGTCGGGGCAATGGTGGAGTCAGAGGCGGCAGGCAGAGGCAGTCAGAGATTGAGAGAGTCACGAGAGGCGGGGATTCGACATTGACATAATGATTCTTGGCCGGGCTTGGGTTTCGCCGCCGCCTGGTTCCGGCCAGCAATTTTTGACTGCCATTTGAGCCACTTAATGAGCAACAAACTACAGTCATTCTCCCAAAACTGCAAACTATAGACTAAGCACACACAAATACACACGAACATTGAAATCTTTTCGCCCACCCAGGCAAGTTTAGCTTAAAGGCCAGGCCAAAGACAAAAATTCTTAATTGCCGGGCCTTTGGGCGATATATATTTTCTGTCAGACAGTGCAAAAATAAAAAAAAAAACAGCCCCTCATGATGTAAGCTGCCCAATTTGTCTTCACCTTTCCGTACATCAGGTGGGTCCAGTCCGGTTTCGGTTCAGCCACAGCCACAGTCTCCATCTACGTCTCTCTATAGTGGCAAAATCCATCTCGCATCTCGATTCATAATTCGCTGGCCCGAAAATGCGCATGCGCAACCATTTGGCATTCGGGCTGTGAGATCACATTCGGACATTCGATCGCTTGTCGCCCCCATTCATCATCATTCCATGTCCATCCAAAACGGATTTCCACAGATTTTTGTCAAACTTTCGACAGGGCCCAGCCGAATCACATCAAATCTACTCTCGGTATAAAAAAAAAACATACAAACCTAAACCCTTGATGACTAAATGCCATTAAATGTAATGAAATTTAAGTACGCACCGCTGGTACCCCTGACCCACTAAAATCTATATCTTATATGTGTATATATGTCGTATATATATATATATATATGTCGTATCTCGTAAATACATTTTTGATTAGGGCCCATCAACAGACCGCCCGCATCTGAGTTGATTTCGTTAATAGGCGACAATCGGCGAAGGCATTTAATCGGATCCGCTTGGCTTCCACTCCCCGAAATCGGCCCGAACTTCTACTATATACATATATATGTATGTGTATACTTTTTAATGGGTCTGACAAGCGCCGTGTTAATTTGATAATAATGCCCGACGTTGAGCAAAAAACTAATCATCATAATAACGATGATTTCACGCCTGCTTGGCGTTCGCTCTAAAGATCGCAAAAAGCGATGGTAACTCTGGCCATTATGGTTATAGATCATTCTTGGCAAAATGTTGAATACATTAAAAAGTGGCGGTCGAAAATGTTCATTTAATGATCTCAACCTGTGCCTTTTAATCGTTTCAAGATTTTTTAGAAGCTATAGAGATTAACACTAATGATCGCAGATCAAGTTGGTTTTGATTTTGGAAAAGGTTTGAAGGTGTTTTAGATATACTCTTGATGAGACTTTCAGATGTGATTAGGTTGGGGGTGGGGGGGTGTCTTATCTAGACTTCAACATTTACTAATGAAAATCATTCGTTAAAGATCTCAATCTCTGGCGAATCTCTGCCTGGCAGATCACTCGAGATCAATGAGAGATCAAACTGCGTAATAACCATGGCAGTTTCATGGCATAATCCAAGTGAAACTTCAGCATTTCATTGTCATCATTCAGACATCCAACAACCAACAGCAACGATGGCAGTCAACTTGAATGGTTTCATTTCACCCACAACCCACATGCCAACGACATGGAGCCGGAGCTCAAAATATAGATGGAGATGGAGATGGATTTAAAGCCGTGGACGTAGCCACATCATCCATCAACCGCTGGCAAGAGGGGCTGAGCAATTAATAAACAAATAAAATGGCAACTACAATGCGGGTTCATGACCACAGCAACAAGCATCTCTCATCTCCGATCCAGCAGCAAATTGCGTGCGCGAACAACTAAATTCAGCAGGCGCCTGGGCCTGGGAAACACTCTTCTGTTTAAGATGCAGATGCACTTGGTATATAGCTATGGCTATGGCTATATAGATATATAGATGCAGATCGAGTTGAGATGCGGCAGCGTGTTGGGGACCAACTAAGTTGCGACTCTGTCTGCAATTAATTCAATGAGCAGTGGCGACAAAGAGACAAAAGATCGCCTCGGGCGAAATGCCTCATGATCAGCACGCAAAGAGTTGTGAATCAAAGATGAATGGAGAGATCAGTGGATCAGAAAGTTAATATATATACACATATATATAGAGAAACTTTGGTCATTTTGTGGAATTTCTTAGAATTTTTAAGATTTTTACAGATAGTTTAAAAATCAATCAATGCTTTGTGGGAAATACTTTTTGTAGAATAAAACTCTTTAACTACTTTTTCATTACCCCTAGAGATCTTAAAGATCTTAAAGATCTCAAAAGTAAAATGATTTATTATCTTTGAATTTCAATTAGTTGAGCACAAATGGGTGCATTATGAAATTTCTCATATTGCATGAACCACACACACACACAGAGATTATCCTTTACCTTTTTCATTATAAGGATCATCCATTTAAATCTACTAACCAAATGAGTTGGTACCTGCCTGAGATGGAGATCCTATTTCTGTTTTATAAAAATAAAGATGATTTTGTGTTCCTTGTGGAATTCATTACCCATTCACCTTGGGATCCCTTGGCCTGTCATCTATGCTATCTGTGTTTGATCAACTGCTCAGCTGATCGATGATCCATTCCACTTCCCAGCAATTTGTATGCCTGGCATTTGGTATTCCAATGCTTTGGCCCTTTGGCGATCACTTGACACACTCTCCCCACTGTCGTCTGTCGCCTGTCGCCTGTCGAAATAAATAAATGAACTGTCCAAAACTGATCGGAGATGGGTGCCTGACGTCGATTCGGTTGTCCATTTTCGGAACTGAGAAGCCGAGGAGCTAAGAAACTAGGAGCGATTGCATACTCATAAATATTGAAATATTCGATGGGTTAGGGATCCATGAGCGGGGGGAGGGAGGGGTTATATATATATATATGACAAACGACGACAAATCGACTTCCGAGCTATCGATCGTCGCCATTTGGCGATCGTTGAATGAATGAATTTCGCGCCACGTTTTTCACGTTAGTTGTTGAATGCCAATTGGTTTGATAAATCGCTTTGATAACGAAATCGAAAATGAAAACGAAAACCGATTCGAAACCGAAAATGCAGCCGTATTCGTGACTCAGAGATTCTTTTTGGCCGCCTGCCCATTCATAACCACTCGAAACGAGCATTTCTTTCGCACATTCAGACTTCCCTGACCTACGACATAATCCCCCAAAAAATGCGCTCACACGAATATAGCACTTTCTATATAATATAGAAGATATATATCTGTGTGTGTTTATATAGCCAGAGGCGTCGTCATCTTGGTCTATGACGAAACCGATCGTATATATTTTTATCATGGCCAAAACGAGAGACACGCGTTTGATAGAGCCCATGGGTGTATGGCCAGCCATAGTGTATTTAGCCACATGAATCACACACTTTCCCAGAACCAAAGTGATTAGTGCCGTGGCGCGCATTTCTTTCTAGATTGCGAATGGTCATCGGACATTAAGCGATCATTTCTGCACTAGATTTATCTTCTGTTTTGGGTTAAGAAATATTTGATAGGATTAGGACACTCTGGCAATGACTCATAGTTGTTCCTTAAAAGTAAGAAGGAAATTATTAGGATTATTTCCTATAATTTTATAGTTAAGAACAACGCTGAATTTATTTCTAAGAATGAAATTCATGAAAGTTTGTGTTAAAAATAAACACAGTCTTTATCTGCTCAAGTTCTGAATAAATTTCCGAATAACAATGAAAGCTTCTATGACTTTTTTTACGATCGAAGGGAAAAACATTTCCACGACCCTCCCCTTTCCACATCTATTTAACACTTCCCCGCAACCTTTGATGAACTTACCGATCTGGTGTTGATATCTCTCTCCACTGGGCGCCTTCTTCTTCTGTTCGGTTTCTTGTTCTTTTCTGTTGGTTTTCCACAGCTGGGCGGGCCGGAACCTGAGGACAGAGAAAAGGAAATTGAAAATGATATATATATATATATATTATATATATAGTTGGGGTTTTTTTTTGTAGTTATGCCTTTGGCAGTGACTGTGACATCATCAGAAACGTAAGTAGAAAACGGTAAATGGAGTTTTATTTGCTTTTTGTCATTGAACGTGAGTGAGCGTTCCACACACAGACACACACACACGCACAAGCTAGCTAGAGAACTGGCCAAAAAGAGATGGCTAGATGTGGTGGTCTAAACAAATAAGTCAATAAATAAAGGCGTTAACTTGGCTCGAAATGGCCTACGTAAATATGCGATGAAATGAGCGAAAAGAAAAGACTAAAAAAAAAAGCGTTGATGAATACGTAAAAAAAAACGTAACCGTACTGAGGTGGGCTAAAGTCTCGGACCCAATCCCAATCCCAATCCCAATCCTCAATTCCATTTCCAATTCCAAAACCGAAACCCAAAACTCAGAGCCAGAAACATATTCAGACTTACAATCGCGGTGTAGGCTTGTTTTGCAATCGCTCATAGACTTTGGCTACAGAAGTTGGCAATAAGCTAAAAGCTGACAAATGTCTGACAAGCGGAAATGGCAAGAGAAGTTGGGAAGTTGGGAAAAAAAAAAAATAAAATAAAATAAAATAAAAAAACAAACAACAACACGTTCGAAAAACATGAAAATTCGCACGCAAGCTGCTGAATGAAGAATCCAAATAAAGAAAATAGGAAACGCCATCGTAGAATATTTGGGTGTGTCCTGCGGTTGGGTTATTTTCCCTGGAAATTACGTAAGTGTCTAGGGGTCTGGGATCTCTTCTTTACTAATTAGACATACATTTTATATTATCAATTACTCAGAAATAAGTTAACTTATGGAATATTTTCTTCTTATATTCCAGATAATCCACAAACTCCTGGAAATCTTTAATGGTAAGTCAATGCAAAAAGTTAATATGAAGTTTAAATATCAGGCAGTTTCTACTATAACATTTCCAATATCTTATCATCATTATTAATACATCACATCTTCTGGACATGACTGACTATCGAAAACCAATATTAGCCATATATTTTATCTTTTCTCTGACTTGTGTTAACTTGACACCTTCTGTTTGGATTGGTTTTCGGTTTTTGTGACTGGACCTTGGGCCTACTACTTTTCCCACGAAGGCCGCTGCTCAGCGGGCGAGAGGGTCTAATGGGCCAGGTAAAGAATTGGGCAAGGTCAATGCCACATATGCAGAGTGGCTGGTTGTGACCTTTTTATAGGGAAATCTCCTGCCAGCGAATGCGTGACGAATGTTGCCTGCGCATGCGGTCATCAAGGTCAACACAAAACACCAATCCCCCCACACAGAGCCCCTTCGATTCCTGGCTACCAGTTACTCATTAGAACAGCTGACGTGACTCAATCTCCTGGCAAAAAAAAAAACAAATTTCAAGAGGCGCCACCACAATGGGTGGCCTGCCAAACTCTATGACTCATGTTGGAAAATTGTTGGCAAAATTCGCCACAGGGGAAAATTAATAATAATATTAGCAAAGAACATTTACAAGTTCTTTAATTAAAGGCCAGACATCTAGTCAGGCAAAGGAAAGTTTATAGAAAGATTTATGACTCACATTTTTTTTTGTTTTTTTTTTTGTATTTATTTTTAAGCAAAACATGGACTTGAGGTCCACACAGGATATCATAAATAATCTTTTCATAATGTTTCTTTAGGACTAATTTTGGTTTTCTGTGTTTCTACAAAAAAAAAGAAAGAGTTTTCAGGGAAGTTGTCTTGCCAATAAATCAAAGATTTTATTTTAATAAAGAAAAATAAATCATTTCTTGAGCTTTTCAAATGGAAACATTTTCCTTTTTCTTATCAACAAGCTAAAGATCTGGTGAAGGAATGAACTTATTCCAACTATAGTATATTCTTTGTATGAAAAATGAACTCTATTACTTTGTTATCTTCCACTAAATGTAATAACCATAAAGGAATATCGCTCTTTGTTCTACAACTCGATCGATGGGTGTTGTAACATAAAGTTCTATAGCCATAAATTGGTCTACCCCTAAGTGGTTAAAACTGGATCTGGATGCCTGCTTATCCCTGCTCGTATGACATATTTAATGGATATATACATGAGAATGCATGTATATAGTCGACTCATTTGTCATTTGTCGGTCTGTAAGTGGAACTTCAGATAAACCCCATAAGCTATGGGTCCAACCAAGCTGTCACAGTACGCTGTTATTGTTGTTGTTGTTCATGTTGTATATATATATATTTACATATAGACCAAAGATCGGGGAAGTTGTTGAGCTAAGGGAGCGGTGAGGGCACTGCTATATAGTGTTCATTCGTTATCAGGGGTGTCGTTGCATGAGGAATTATAATTGAATGCGCCGCATGTTTATGATTTACACCATTTACACCAAGCACATTCCAGCACACAGATACTATATATATATATATATATATTGGTAGACAGATAAAACGATAAGTTCCAATAGCAGACAACCCAATAATAATAATAATAATAATCATTATTTTTGTTTGTTTGTTGTTTTTGGGTCTTTCACTCGCCGAAATCAGACAATCGAATTGCTATTTTGGCATTTGATTTCCTTTGTTTTTCCCTGTTTGATTTTGATTTTTGAATTTCTGTGTTTTAACTGCGCGACACGCAAATCAATGGTTGCCACCCTAACGGATCACAAAAACAACAACAACAATAATAACTAAACAAAAAAACCAACGAAAAAAGCACTAAAAACGTTAAATTCTGCGCTTACGTTTTCTGCACGCGACGACGGGAGAGGCGGCACCGAAAAATCGGCCAGACAAGGAAGCACGTTATTATTATAACGGTAAGTGTGCTACAAAAAATAACAGCAATGTTTTTTTTTTTTATTTCATATTCACTGCAAACACACCAAAAACACACCACACACACACCACACATATGCACTCAAACTATATACAAAAAAAAAACAAATGTACGAGTATATAGAAAAATCGCAAGAAGAACGAGAACGGAAACGGAAGGGAAATCGAAAAGTTTTAGTAGCACAGGATGTTTGGAGTGGACGCGAAATACCGCGAGAAGGCGACTCCGCGAGACCGCAGAAACTCCGCAACTCGACGGGCGACCATATGACCGAAGACTAAAGTTTGTGCCACAAGAACGACAGAACACCGACAGGGTTGTTGCAACTTTCGTGGCCAGAGACCAATATAAGGTGTATAACCGCTGCCTCCCCCCTATTTACCCAGCAGCTTCCGCGCAAGTCCTTGCCCAACTATTTCGATTCATTCCTGGAGAGAGAATACGAAAAGGAATCCGAAGAAGAAGAAGAAAAAGAAGGAGAAGAAGAAGAAGCAGAAGGTATTACAATAGTTGGACACCGAAAAGGGGCACAGTGGGCTTTGGGAGGTGTAGTAGGTGTCGGAAAACTACCTTTATAATGGTTATAATAACCAGGATATCCTTTTTAAAGGATCATTACATAACTGTTATAAATTTCTCAAGAATACAGACCCAAAAGATGCCGTTATAGCCTTAAAAATTTCCTTTAATAATTCCTCCAATTTGTTACCCAAAAACAGTTTTAATCATAGGCCCATCAAATCCCAGTTAAAGCAAACAGTGGGAGGTCGTTGGGGGTCATTTATGTTTATGTGGCAACCACTGTGCATTGATTTCTGGAAATTATTGTAATCCCATAAGCGCTATCTGTGCGCCAGTGTGCGAGGGGGAGTTAAATGTGGGATGGCAAGGTAGGGAGGAGAGGCGCATGCGTTGCGACCGTTATGTGCTATGGGAAAACATATGTTAGGTAGCCCAGCCCAAAATGGCACTGGGAAAACTCCAAGACTGAAAGTTGAAAAACTCTCGACTAAACGACTGCTTGTGTGTGAATGCCACCCTTTATCAGTTGAGCATTTTTCTTATCAGTTCGTCAATTGACGGCCTGAGAAAATGAAAACCAGCAGCAAGCACAATCTCTCTTGATTTCCCTAGGGGATTCAGAGAGAGAGAGAGAGGGAGAAAAAGAGAGTTCCATGTTCCTTTCACTCCTTTTTTTCCTCGGTTTGTTGTTGTTTTTGTTGTTGCGGGCGTCCAACAGGCGTAAACAGCTGTAAATTGTTTGTTGACAGAAATACAGCTCAGGTCAAGATAATAGAACATTTGAACATTTTTTCTGTTGAAACTAAGCTTGAGATCTTTTTATATTTAAAATTTATAAATAATATTACAAATTAAGACAAAGAAATTAAAGCTTTCTTGATGCCTTACAAAGCTTTTCAAATCTGTATGTAATGTTTCTTGCTGAGTCCATTCAAAGAAGCGACTTTATCAACTGTTGACTAAGTATAAGATTTATATTTAGTAAAACAACAAACTACATTGGAATTTATAACTTTTTCAAGCTTCAAATTCTTTGCCCTCGTCTGTATACTGATCCTGTCATCATCATTGAGCGATATTGCTTTTAATTAGCAAAACAAAAAAAAAAATATTTTGGAAGGCAGATGAGGGCGTTTTCAAGGGGGTTAAATTTATGATGTGCAGCAAGCAAATTTTAAACTTATTCATCAGTCGATTTCCGGGAAGACCGGACAAGAAGACCAAAGAAAGTCACCAAGAAAGTCGCAGACAAAGCCACGCCAAGGGAACTTTGGCATTATTGTTGACATGACAAACCCGGGTTCTAGGAAATCACAAAATACAAATCATAAAACTGCAAAAAAAAAAACGGTTGCAAGTGCAACAAAAAAGTGCCGAAATCAACAAGTGCGTGTGGTGTGTGTGATAAAAGTGGGTGATATGACAGTTTGTGCTCTGACCCAGTCGATAGGGCATGTGTTCGAGGCATTATTGTGGGCTTTATCAAAAGCGAAAGAACGACGAGGGAAACACAAAACACAAATCCACAATCGGCCAAACATGTGTAATGCTCACCCATTTGTTTTTATTCCACTGATAAACATACTCTCTGATTAAATCAGCCGTTTGCTGGGTCTCGTTTAATAAAAAAAAGAAAAAAACCATAAAGGAAATGACTAAATTCTCTGCTTATTAAAAATATGTTTCTATATTTCTTATATATTTACAAACCTTTTTAAGATCACCGCCAATCTCCAGATTTCTATGCAAATTTTTGTTAACTTTTTGGGTTTTTTGTTTACTTTTCCCACGAACAATAAGAAAATTGTGGGAAAAACTTTATCGAATCAAAGATCAAATCATATTATATAGTATCAATATTGTGGGTATATATTGTTTAAATATGCACAAGGAGATTCCAAAATTTTGCACTTCACTTCGAAATAAGGGTTTTCTTCTTCTTCTTCTTCTTCCACACAGAATTCAAAAGAACATAAACAAAAAATCCCGCCTCATGGCTTGGTTTGGCTCGTGTTAAGTATACAAAAAGAAATCATTATATTCATATATTCCCTTGGATGAAATCGAATATCATCGTTTGGATATTGTTTCCCGGCAATTTAGCGCATCGTTTTCGAGTTTTTTGAAATAAAAAAAAAAATTAACGGAAACCGAAACACAACCTTCGGCGCGCGCGGTCGGTTGAAGAATTTCAAAAAAATGTGTTGCGCGCCTTGCTTATATACCCTCTGCCTGCGTTGCGGCTGCTCTCTTTGCGACGTCGGCAGCGGAGCGGCTGTTAAGTCTCTCCGGCTGTTAATAACATGCAAGCTGTTATTATTTGAACTGGTTAACGTTATGTTAGAGTTTTTATGATATGTTATTGTGTTTGATAACTGCTGTTATTTCCGTTCTCCATGTTGGAGGATTCACACATAACAGAATCTTTACGTTTCAGAACAGTTGCATTAACATTAACAGTTGGCTTCGGCTGATTAATGTAAAAGTCTGCCTGATGCAAAACAAACTTCCAGGCGAAACGAGTTTCATAGCATTGTACTTAAATTTGAATTATTTTTAAAAAATGAAAAATAATTACAAATTTATTAAGGGATGAGGTTACATTCTTTTACATTTATTTAAATTTTCCGTACAATACATTCATAAGACTTGTTCAACAAGTGTTTAAAATGGGAACAAAACTGAATAAATACTTAGTTTAAAACTTCTTCATAAGCAACTTGGTTTCTTTTTCAAAGGATTTACCTAATGTCCATCATAATTGATGTCAGCCATATCAGCATCGACATCGTGCCAAACAGAGCCCTCACCATCCTGACCTGATCTCGCGGCCGGCGAGGAGGATGCCTCCCGAGAGTGAGACTCATCCAGATTAGTTGTTCCACAGGGTGTGGCCAGTCCATTGGTGGTCAACTGGTTATTCACCTTGTTGGCGGAACTATCTTCCAAGGCAGAGGTGTCAAGGACAGAGTATGAGCTCTTTAATAAACTAATACCCCGCAAAGTGCGCTGGCATTTGGGATCCTTACTGGAAATATGGAATCAATATGAAGATTCTAACTAGTCCTCCAAGATGAACTCACCGCAAAGCCTTATAATAATACTCCAGAGCCCTGATGGGTTCCTTTTGGCTGCGCAATATATCACCGAGATGGGTGAACAGACTGGCCAGCGGAAAGAAGGAGACGTGATCCTCCAGTAGCTTAATGGACGTCTTCGGGGCACCCTCGTATTCACAGATTTCGGCCATTAAAGAGACCGCCGCCGAGAAGTTGGGATCGATTTTCAGTGCCTTTTCGGCAAACTTGCGAGCAGTTTTCTTAACATTCGGATCCGGGGAATGGAAGAGGGTGCAGCCAAACATCTGTCGATAGAAAGTTAACTATTTAAAGATAAAGTAATGGGTATATTAAGTCCTATAGTTTCACCGTTAGGCCTCTAGGGGAGTTCCGGAAAATGCGAAGTGTCCAGTTGCATATATCGTGGGCCTCCTTGAAACGCTTTTGGGCCAAATAGCTCTGAAAGAGGCCTCTGTAGACCTCGAATCGATAAGGTACGACACTTTGGGCCTTCTGATAGGCCTCGGCGGCCTCCTTGTGCCGCTCCAGCGATATGAGGAGTCGGGCACGCAGTAGTAAAGCCTCCTGGTGACGAGGCTCTGAGTTCAGACATTGATTCACGAAACTCAAGCTCCGTTCAAATTTGCCCGAATCATACATCGACTGGGCATGGACGAACCAATGGCTTGGAGTATACTTGGGTTCCGCAGTGACCTGGGCATATAGTTGATCCATATCGGCACTATTATCACCGGTATTCAGACCACGGACAATGGCCAGTAAGCCAATGGCCTCCACGTTATCCGGATTGCTAATAACCGTCGCCGAGAAGTACTGCTCAGCCTGCGTGTAGTTACCGTGGTAGTAGAAACACCTTCCCAGCTCCATCATTAACTGCTCATTGCATCGCAAGGAAGTGGTGTTCTGGAGCTTCTGAAATGTCTGAGAAGCAGCGAGGTGCTTGCAGTCGAAGATCTGGGCCAGAGCCTTGATCCATGTGCTCAGCCAGTCAATGCTACCGGGCACAGTGGCGGCTAGAAAAAGTCAGGATTTAAGATGGAAACTGTGAGGATTGAAAGAAGTCATAAAATCACCATGCATAACCAAGGAATTGACCTCGTTGCCATCGACTTCTAATTCCAAAAGGGCTTGAATAACCTGAAGCGCCATGGGGCATTCACGGAGTACCTCCTTGTAGGCGAGCAAGGCCTCTGCCTTGTTGGTGCACTGCGTTCCGCTGCCGTAATGTTGCAGTCTGGCCAGCATCAGGTTTATCCTCGGAGTGCGTGACTTTACGGGCACTTGAAGCAAGATGGATGCGGCCAAACCGTGATCACCAATCTCACGATAACATTCGGCGGCCAGGCGACGCAGCTCCACGTCTCCGAATTCGGGATAGGCACTTTCGATGGCCACCAAACAGGCGTTCTTGTGGCGTACCATTAAGCGACGCTGGTGGATAACATCCTCGAAATTACCCAAAGCTTCGCGATGTTGATGTTCTTTGTACTGGGAAGCCAGTAGGTAGAGTTGCACTTGGTACTCCAGCTCCAAAGTGGCCACGTTCCGATCATTCTTTAGCACAGTTTTCAGCAGTTTAGCCTAAAAAATAAGTACTTTTAATACTAGTTTGTTGATTTTGGTAATATTACCAATGGAATCACGCATTCGTAAAGCTTGTGATCGTAAAGCTTCTTAACATTCGCAAACAAAGCGTTCTCCATATTTTCCACGATTGCCCAAAATGTCAGACAGGCTGCCCACTTGTTCAAAAAACAAAAAAAAAAACTACTGTCCAGGCAAGCCATGAACGGTACTTTGGAAATACTTCAAATACCTTTCAGTATCGATATGGCAATATTTATTAAATAACAAATTAGGGAAGTTTATAATACCCACAGAACATAACACTAATTTCCCATAAAGCCACGAATATAGAAATCAGTTTTTGCAGTTATTTTATTTTGAGATTGACGACGTCGCTTTAAAACTAAATCGCTAAGTAATGCCAAAAAGAGTTTTGCAACTACAATTGTGAGTTATAAGTATCGTTCTTCTAGGTAGCAAATGTTAATGGTATAAATTGTCTTTATTTATTTATTATTTATATATATATTCATATGTATTATAATAAACCCTTTTCTTTTATTTTATTTTTTTTTTTTTTAACTGGAAGCTGTTTATATTCAAACCGAGTTATTTACAGCGCTTTCCCGTCGCCAGTGCTCTCCCAGTTGCTTTGTTTAACTTTAGTTAGCTGCGGCAATACTTTTGTTGCGTGTTCTCCATGTGAACGTATTAGAAATATATATATATATATATATATTTATTATATCGCTTTCGGGCTTAGACTATACATTACGCTTACTCCTTGCGCTCTATACAACTTTCCACTTAACTCTAAACAACAAACGGGAATATTTGTAGGAAAAAATCATAAAAGTTGAGTAAAGGCCGAAAGCAAAACTAAAGTAAACTTTATCCGCTGGCTGGTTGACTGGCATCTCTTTCCATTATGTTTACAAAAAAAATTACAAAATATAAATCATTAGACCGCGGGAATCCATTAAAAAAAAACTTAAACATTTGTACACGGGCCAACAAACACGGGACGTACTTTTAAAAAACTTTTCGCTTAACGATCTCCACAGTTCAGCTGGGTCAACCGAAGCTCCAACAATACTACTACATCTTAATCTAGGTTCATCATTTGACTGAAGAGAAAAAAAGGGGAACAGGAGAAACTTTGGAAACTAAGGTAACTGGACGTATTCGATGATGGCTGGAACACAACGGAACATTTGCTGAACCGACCCACGCTCGGTACGACTTAATACATATATATATATATAGTGCGGGGATATAGCTAACGGAGCTTATTCGATGGAAATGACAAACAAAAAAAATTATAAAATAGACTTCATTAAACGAAAACATTGGTGAATATTGGGTGCCGACCGAGCTAAGCTATTAACTAAGCTATATAGTTTGAAATTCTTAAAGAACACACCGGGTCGATCCTGAATGCTCCTCCCATTTTTGTTTTTTTTTTGTCTAATCAACGTGGGCTAACTTATGCGAATCGATTAACTACGACAAACGGCAGATGTGGCCGCCATTGTCACCACTACTACCACCACCGCTGTTGTCGCTCCTACTGCAGTTTGCCCTCAAGTTTGTGCCATCCGATGCCGGGGGTGTGGGTGCGTTTGCGTGTGCTAGTGCGGGTGCAACTGTCACTTCCTCATCCGCTACCATTTCAACTTCCACTTCCGCGGCCGCTCCCACTCCCAAAGCCCCATCTCAGTTTGAATTTGACTCCTGTTCCGCGGGCTCCGGAAAAGTGGGGCCGCTCTTGCAGACACACATGTTGAAGAACTTGTTCTTGACTTCTTCGACAGAATAGTCCAACTCGATGGCGGGATAGCTGGACTTCTGCAAATCGATCAATGAATAAGGTTTAATAAGCTTATTAAATAGAAAACTTACATTTTGGGTGAGGTTTTGGCCACGCAGCATCTGCCAGTTCTCCAATGTGTGCGCATATTTCAAATACTTCTCAAAGTCGTGCAACGTTTCGTAGACGTGGCACAGACCCAGGTAATCGTACTCCAGGCCAGAGTACGAATGCCCAAACAGGCGCAGACCTGCAATAAATGTTTAGATTAGTTAACAAGTCACTAAATAATCGTTTTATATACTCACTTATGTCAATGCTGCGCAGGTAGAGCTTTTCGGCATCGCGGTACTTCTTCATTTGGTAGTTGTACAGCGAGGCCAAGTGACCGATGGACAGGCCCACCTCATAGTCAAAGGCACCCAGGAGATCTGTTTTGATTTTGATCGCCTTTTGGTGCATTCGTTCCGCTTCTTCGAAGCGATTCATCGTTTGGTATAAACGCCCCAGATTTCCATAGTGTTTCGCCGTCTGCACATTCACCTCGCCGAACACTTCGAGTGAGAGAAGCAGTGCGAAATTGTGCAACTCCTCGGACTGCAGCAGCAGATCCTCCTCATCCATGCCATCAGCCATCTTGTCTAATGCAATTTCCTCCAGCAGCAGTGCCTTTACGCGCTTCGCTGAGGCCAACATCAGATGATTGCTGGGCACAAGATGCTTCATGATATTGACCGCCTTGTCTACATGATCCTGGGCACAGCTAAAGTCACCTGTACTGTACTCATGGACATAGTAGGCATACGACAAATCCTCATGGGCAATGGCAACATGGAAATTCATGTTGCCAAAGATGCCACGACGCACGGCAAGCGCCTCCTTGTACACGTTGACCGACTGGAACACCGAGTCCACATTAAGTAGGAAAAATCCATAGTCTAGCAGTGCATCGCCGTACTTCTGATGTTTAACTCCAAAGTATTCGCTGTGTAGAAGAAGTTTTGAAATGAGTTTCGATTTTAATGATTAAATTTAGCTTAATATTATTAGTTTATAAAGAAAAGTTAAAGTTTAGTTAATGTTTAACTTTTTGCCAGAAAAGCAGCAAAAAGAAAGAGAAGGGCGTAGAGATTTGTTGCTTACCGAGCGCGACGTACTGCCTGGCAGATGAGCAGATTGGCCCGGGCAAAGTCCCTCTTGACGACACAGGCCTTGGCCGCCTGACGCAGAACGTCGATGGTGATGCTGTCAGGGATTAAGGAAAAGATCAAGATTATCCAGACCAAGAATGGGCTAGAGGGAGAGGGACATATACTTACCGCGGTGAGGCAGAGCTCCTGAGGAATCGCATGGCCAGACCGCTCCACATGTGGCTAAAGTTGTACTCATTGCGAGCAAAATACATGGCTGAAATCTGGGTGTAGGCAATGGCCACCAACTGGGTAGGCACACTGTCATTCAGCGTTGTATTTAACCCGATCAGTTCGTCGTAGGTGCGCTGAGCCAGCTTGAAGTTGCAATGGGCCGATTCAGCATATAGAAGGCTATAACAGAAGGAGTCTTTTTATGTGGATTTTATGTGTGATTTATAAAAACATTACCGCTGCAGACAGTCGAGACGCATTTCCAGCCAGTGTTTGTAAGGCGGCAGGTTCTTCAGTCTTCCATTGAGACATGCCAACACAGTTATGCTCTCCTGCATCCATCCAGCCTCTGAAAGAAAGGATCCAAGGCGCAGGCCGAGGTCGATGGCCTGCATCTCCGCGGCGGGCAGCTCTTCGAGTGCTGAATTGTCAATCACATTATGTTCGGGATAGGTTGTCTTCTGGGCCATGGGATTTAAGGTGATGTATTGAGTAGAAAATTCGCTACAACTAGTATTAGAACTAGTGCTAGAGCTGGCCTTTGTCATATCACCGTCGTAAATGTGCAACTTATTATGATCATTCGAGCGATCATCCAGCGATACCTGATCCCAGTTCTTATACAACTCCACCAGTTCTAAATTAAGTTCTTCATCCTCCAGAACGGCAGTTCCATAACGCATCACATAGTTCTCGCTGAGACGATTGGCCAGCATCTTTTTGCTAGCCATTAGTGAGGCCATTATGCGCAGCAACTTGCTACGGGCAGCTGAATAGCGAACGAGTCGCAAGAACACATCTAGCTGGGCCAGCTCCTCCAGCAGGGTTCCCTTCAAGGACTCCTGCTGCGACATCTGCAGATGGAGAAACATAGATTAGCAATTATGATATTGAAGTGAAAGCCAATAGGGGGTTTCGTGATTAGCAGCAGGGAGAAGCCATCTAAATAGGTCAATAGTTTAGTTACTTACATAAACATAAAAATTATATCTATCTATAAATTACGATTTCTGTATTATCCTAGATTAAAATTACTGGAATAGTAAATTGCTTGCTAGGATGATGTAAAGAAAAGACACATCCAATCAGCGGACAATGGAATTTGCTTAGCCATTATCAGCAAGTTCAATGGCTCTTTAGCTCAGCTGCGCCATATATGTGGGCAAGGTCTATGCATCACTGCATCTTCCATTACAGAGAAAAGAGCCCAACAATTTCCGAACAGGACAATCAAAGGGCACTGGACCCATCCAACTGGTTGGTCGGTCTATTTTTAGAACCCCCGGGTCAATGTCGCTTCAGTTTATAATTTATACTGTAATTGCCACATATTATAGCAATCCATGTATGGAATATCGAAGCCTCTGGCTAGCCAATTATTTATATTTGCTCCAACCACCTGTGGGTCTGTGGACTTGGATTTCCTTCGTCCAAATGAAATCCAGCTGAAGGTATGTGTGTGTACCTCAAGCAGAAGGCTTCCAAAGAAAAACTCAAGAGGAGTTAACTTGTGACTGGAATTAGCATTATTTATTTCTAGATTTGTTGTTATTTCTTTGATTTGTTGTTAAAATTTCAATTCAAGGAAAGAAAGACATGACAATTCATCTTAAAGAAATGATTATTTGAAATTTGATGAGTATTAATTTAAGATTTTTCCCAGCCAGATTCCGCGAAGGTCTTTCCTTCTAGGGTTAATGAGCGGACGGACTGGCGGGGTGTAAACAATTTAAGCGGAAAAGCAAACACAAACAAGCAAGTGCCATAGCCATGCCCCCCTCAATCCCTGATAATGGGCATGAGAGAATGGTAATTGCCAGTGGCGAAATACGAACGGGGAGTTCAGATAAGCAGCGGTCCAACAAGTGCTGTAATCGTTATGATCGCTGATGGAAAGGTAGAAAGTACATATTACTAAGGATAAGGATCGATAGTTCAAAGAATCCATATTGTCGAAGTCTAGGAATTGCATTCCACTGACTTCTTATATCATCCCAATAGGATTTTATCATTAAATATCATGATGCTCATGATCTATCTTGGTTTTTCCCCTTGACTGCGACTACTGGTTATGATAATCGGGAGTGCTCTTTTGGAAACGATCGTTGGATTGGGGGAACACATCGTAGTAAATATAAACAATAACACTCACCAGTTCGTAAACATCGATGAGAAGGTTCCGCGGCAGTTCCGCCAGACGGCTGATTCTATCCAGCGCCGGAACCGTGGTGTTCATACTCCCGATCAGGCCCAATAATGATAGGTCATATAGGGTCTTAGGGGAGTTCGGATTTGGGTTTGGATTCAGGGCCGCGAGCTGTTGGCCAGCCATCTCGCTTCACTTGTTTGTTTGTTTTCCTACACTAAATGTATCGCTGTTGTTTTTATGTCGATGTTAACCTTTAGGGGCGGGGACTCGCGGGAGGCGTGGCACTCTGCAACAAGTTTGAATTTGTACGTTATTCTTAGGAAATGTATTCGCACACGTGCCGCTTGTATAAAATATATGTATGTAAAACAAATAAAAGGCAAAACAAACAAAGCATGGCAAAAGCAAGAAAAATTAGAAAATAAAGCCTATGAAAAGATCTGGTTTTTTCGAGTGTGTTTTGCACTTCACTTCACTTTCTTTTGAGGCGTTCTTCGGTTTTCTGTTTTCGGTTTTCCTTTCTCTGCCAGCGTCGCTGCCCGCGTGCTGCTGCTGCTGGCTTGCTTTTGCTTTTCGCTGCTTTGCCTTGCTTTTGCTTTGTTGCTGTTATGATTGTTTTGATTTCGTTTCATTGCATCTTATTAGGCACTTACACAACGTGGAATACATCTAATTGTCGGGGCCCGTCAGCTGAAGTCGAATTCTTGGCCCACGAATAATGCGTTGGGATTCGTATTGTTCCTCCAGCACTTTTTCTTTATTTTAGTGAATTAGTGGTGACAACCAGCTGGCCCTATCGATAGCCACTACTGAGAGGCTTCACTGCGGGGCGATAGATGAGTAGTTCGATTGTAGTGTGACCAAGTACTATTCAAAATTTCCCATGATTATGTATTTTATTTTATTTTTTTATAAACTCGGTCGCATTTCAATATTCTCAGTGTTTTGGCAAGAATTTATCTTTGTCTACAGCTGGTTAGTACATTGCAGAGTGACCGCTTGCCAAGCAGAAAAATACAAAAGATAAATACTGAAGAAATTCATAATTGGCGGCTTGTTTTTAATGTTGTTGTTTATAAAATGTAACACTGGAGGTTCATGGGAAAAGATGTGAAATACATTTTATTAATTATTTAAATTTGTCATAACAGGATCTTGGTGAAATCATCTATGATGGTTGTTGGTCGTTGGAAAACTGTTCCCATCCTTTCATTCTTCTAATCCGCCTCTTCTCCTTATTAAAAAAGATCAATAGAATCATCCTCGATCTCAACGAGAGCATAATCGGATGTGCTGCCAAACAACCACCAGTGGCTCAGTATATTGCGGATGAGCAGGCATCGTGTGGTGACGAACTCGAAAAAATGGAAGAACAGGGCACTGGAGGAAAGCAAAGCACAGGAGGCGACGAACACCTCCTGGACGGTAAGCTGCTCGGTGCTGCCTTGGTTGAGATTATCCATGCACTGCAGAACCTACAAAACGAATACCAAAAAAGTAAGAAATAATAGCTTACAGGGCAAGCAAAATGGTCACCTGCTGCAGTATAATGTGAGCCAATGGCATCAGTGAGGCGCTAAACAACAGGTGTTTCACAATGAGGCCGCAACAGCGACCGCAGCAGAAGGTTCGCACCATTTGCTTTAGACTGACCCGCTCCTCTGAGATATCGAAAACCGCATGACAGACCTCGCAGCGGTTATCCCGCCTGTGCATAATCCAGCGTTTTAAGCACTTCAGGTGGATGAAGCCCTGCAATAATCATCTAGGTGCCGTTAGTCCAAGACGCAGAAATTCCTAAATGATGATCTAATTTCTTACCACGCTGCCCTTGCAATTGCATGGACATTTGATGATCTCCATGTCATCGCGATTCCAGCGGCAAATGCGGCATGAGTTGCCATTCTCGTTAGCCGAATGGACGCTCTCCTGAGAAGGGCGTCGTGTTACCGGTGGCAACATTCTTTGCCGGGCAGAGGATATTTGCAAAGCGGCCATCGAGGCTGTGGGTGTCCCAACAGCCATTGGAGCGGCAGGACTAGAACCAGAAGCTATCAATTCTGGTGCGCAGCTAACATCTGGTAATGCTACCGGCTGCGGTTGAACAGAGAGAAGTGCATCATTGCCAGGTCCCGCTAGACCATTAATCAGGCGAAGGGTGGTAGCTTCGGAAAGATCGGGCTGATTATGCGACATGGTTGTTACTGCTTGTGTACACAGCTATTGTTGCGCCTGCACTGCTTTGTACTGCTTGCAAGGCTTTTAGACTGCTTGACGGTGTTTGGGGTGTGTTCTTGTGTGCGTTACGAACCAAATTTTGATATACAAATTTCTACACCGAATTTTCCTGCGACATCTTACAGACAACTTAAACGTTAGACTTTCACCGAGTTTCTGAGCATACCTGATATCTTAAACAGTGCCCTGAAATAAATGGCATACTTTATAGACTTTCAATATATTTAAAAAATATTTTAGAATGGGTTTCATTTGTTTTATTTTTTTATTATTTCTTTGCGGCCTTTTCAATGCCATCGGTTAGTAAATGTTTCGTTCTCGTTACACGTACGTACATAGAATAATATGTTTATTATTACAGTAATTCATCAATGTAGAGCGACGGCATCGAGACGTAGCTTATATACTTTATCCATGGTCGATGACCGCCAGCAGGGTTAGTAGCTGCACTTCTGCTTCATCTTCTTTTTCTTTTTCTTCTTCTTCTTTATCTTTCCACAATTAAAATTATGACAAAAAAAATATATAAATCAACAATTATTTGCATAGTTTCTGCTTTCAAGTTCGATAACAAATAATAATATGCGTAATCGTAATAATAGTAAAAAATGGGGGTAAAAGGTAAAACAAACACAAAAAACGTACAAAGAGTCGGCTGTTCACGTTCGACGAGCCATTTTGCGCTTCAGTTGAAGAATATACATATGCCGATTATACAGTTAGATATTCGCAGGATGACAGATTCTTGAGTGGGTATACATTTAGACGTAAGGTTTTTCATGGGTTACATGATTACATGGGGGTGTGTCTTAACACAAAATGCCAAAAGGGGATGTGAGTGGTATTCTTAAGATTTAATGAGTTTGCTGCTGTTGCTGTTGAGTTGACTTGGACTTGGGTCTGGATTTGGACTATTCTGCTGCTGTTGCTGCTGCCACTGCATTCGATGGGCTACCCTGCTTATTGACAGTTCCGGAAACGGCGATATATGCTCTGGACGTAGACGAACACGCACTTCCAGTCGGGTCGACTCATCTCCACCATATCCTCAACATCTAGCAGTGGTGCAATGCCAGCCTTCTCACTGTTAAATTTATAAAGTAAATTAGTATGAAAATCTATAGCATACAATTGAGGGCTTGCCACGGGGCGTATACTTACTCAGCAACGCTGAAGGCCAGCTCGAAGTTGTGTCGTCGCGTCTGCTTGGTTAGTGTGGTGTAGTCAAATGCATCTGGCAAGAAATGGTGTATCAGCGCACAAAAGGCCAAGCCGTCTGACCAGCTCGAGCTAAAGTTGCTTATTTGGACGTTCTGCGAATCAACACACACATAATTGGCATTCAATGGGATCAGTAATGATCAGTAATAGATCGAGCACGTTCTTTTATTAGATGGTTGGCTGATTTTTGAGTTTTTATTCTTTTTTTTTTTGATGGCCCTTGAGCAAAAGCAAAGCATTTAGTTCGAGATTCCAGCCTCCATTAGAAACTAAGACTAACTAAGTAGCTGGTAAGTGGGTAAAACTAAGGTCAAGCTAAGGTCGAAACAATAACAACAACAGCGGCGATAACTCTAGCGATTAAGCGAAATTGTCAATAAAAAAAAAAAACGATAAGCGGTGATCGATACAAATCGGCAGCGGCGGCAAAAAGCGGTAAATCGGAAACGCAAATGTTATCCATCTTTGTATTTCCTATTTTCTCATTCGTGCGTTGTGTTCGTGTGCGGCTGTGAGCGTGTGTATGTGTGTGTGTGTTTGTGTGTATGTATGGGTATTGAATAAAGCTTTCAGGCTTTTAGGCGCTGTTAGATGTTTTTGCTTTTGTTTATTTTTTGTTGCTTGGTTTATCGTTAGATTGATTGTTAAAAATGGCAAAAAAAAAAAAAACTATAAAAAAAATAAAATCAGAGCGAACGGCAAAACTAAAGAAACGATATTAAACTAGGCTTTCTGGCAATTGAGGTCAAAATTAAACATTATTTTTATTTGGAATTTAAAGTCTTGAAAAGTTTATAAGTTATTTCAATTTAATGATTTATTTTTGTTACTTTTTTGACCTCAAATCCATTAAATAATTAACAAACAAGGGTAACAAATATTGGCTAAGGCTTCGGCATTTCATTTACGTATATTTTTAGGGCTTGGTTTTTGTTTTTTTTTTTTTTTTTTTTTTTTGGTTTAGGTTTTGGATACCTCATATTCCTGCGTTTTATGCTGACACCACTGCAGAAGTTGATCCTTGACAGTGGCGGCGCGCGCATTTAATGCCGGATCGGTAAATTTGAACAACGGTTGTGCCGAACCGCCGGGGGTCGTGGGTGTGCTTGTTGTTGGAGATGATCTGAACAAATGAGTCAAGGTTGGAGGATTGCAGACGTTTTAGCGTAACTCACACAAAATCGGTTCATCTTCATCTAGTTCTTAATTTCTGATATTTTCATTTTTTATTTTTTGTGTTTTTTGTTTGGTTTTTTTTTTTAGTTTGTTTGTGTTAAGTGTTGATTTTTTTTTGTTGTGTATATGTGTGTATATATATATTTTCGTTTTTTTTTTGTGTTAGCAAGAAACAACAACAACAATTATTTGAGTACAAAAAAAAAAAATTAAACTTGGAAACGCGGGGTTTTTGTCTTCAACTGTCAAGGAATTGATATTGTTTTTGGATTATTTTTTGGTTGAAATTTTTTCATTTGCCGAAGGAAAACATATAGAGACAGAGATAGTTGGGAGTAAAGAATTAAGATAGGGAAGATCTAGTCCATAGGCTAACTAAAAAAAAAAAAAAATAAAAAACAGAGAAAGGCAGTTGGGTGGTCTATGTACATAAAGCGAAATCACTTGTCCCCCCGCCCTAGATCATTTCTTGTTTTTCTTTTTGGGAAAAGACGATACTACGACACACTTCCATAGAGAACCAACACCAGAAATCGTACATGTTTATGTGTTAGGAGGAGGGTGAAGATTGTGCTTGTATTGTATTCATTTAATGTTTAAGTGTGCGATGTCCTCCGATAACCAATTATTTGAATGTGTTTGAAAACTAATTGAAGAAGCAAGCATAAAATATAAGATTTCCCCATTTTTGGCACTAAAAATAACAAATCTACTACTATTTACTGCTACTTTTTTACTATTTCACTGCTTGCACTGCTTGCTTCTCCAATGGCTTTCGAATCGAATGGTTGACCTGCACAAATGTTGACTTGTGTGTGTATAGTATATATGTATGCCCTCGCTACCATATGTGTGTCTATGTTGGTATGCTTGTCGATATATGTATATATGTATATATATATATATATATATATATACGATAAATGGGTGGATAATGAACTTACTTTTGCGCCTGCTGGGCGGCAGCCTGCTTGTCAAGCTGCTTGAATTTAGCCAAGGGCGAGATGTTCTTGGAGGCAGCGCTTCCACTGACACTGCGTGTGGTAACTATAGGAATGGATAATATTCTAGTTAATCTATATCCTTAATACCCATGACCTTGAGACTTACCCTTTGTTGTTGTTGTGGTCACAGTGGCACCGCCATCCTTGGACTTAGTTTCCGTTCGCTGTTCGCTGGTCGAGGAGCTCTTGTGTTGCTGGGCTGCTGTGTGAATAGAGTTTTTAGGGATGCGGTTTTGTTTTTTTTGTTTTGTTTTTTTGTTTTGGCAGCAGGTGGAAGAAAAAAAGAGAAGCAAACAAATTACATTGATTAGTTTTGGGGCATGCACAAAATCAATAATTACACAAAAAAAATATCAATCAGTTTTTGGGTAATCAACAATATTTTTTGTTTTTTCTTTTTTGGGTTATTCAAAATTACATGTGTTTTGTATCTGGGCAGGCAACAAATTTACACACTACGCAACGTGTCGGAAAACCAAGCAAAAAATTCGGTTATTTCCGTCAGTTTTCCTTGTTTTTTTTTTGGGTTATCAGCTACTACACAAAATTCAAAAACAAATTGGCATTATTCAAGCTGCCACACATATGGGCAGGATTTTTTTTTTGTACGCAGTGTGTGTGGGTGTTTTTATATATATATATATATAAATTCCCCACAATAGGAAACGCGATACGAAAATCACACAAAGAAACACAATCAGAAACCGTCGCTAAGGGTGTGGACATGACTGTGGCGGTGGTGGTGGTGGTGCTTCGGCAGTCCAGGGATGTATATCGTTTCTTAATGCACAGATGAAGTGTTTCGAACTTAAAGAAAGTTATTTAAAAATAAGCAATCATTAAGGAAAGTAAGTCGGAGAAGTGTATTGAAAAATATTTACAATTTTGTAAGGAAAAACTTCCATATAAAGGCATGTTTTTAACAGCATTTTCCAACTTACTTTTCCCTCGAATGAATTGCTTTAAAAATTTAATTTTAAATAACTATTTTTAAGTACATATTTCTGTGTAACAATGACTATATAAAAACTCATGCACATATATAGTATTTACAGTTATAGCTAAAAATCAATGAACGGCATGCTTTAAATCGAGGGACAGGGAACAGGAGCAGATCAGCAGATCAACAAAAAATATATAGATATATATATAGACATATAGATAAAAACCAAAAAAAAAAAAAACTGATCATTAAAATAAACGAAAAACACTGTTTCCTCATCTCATCTGTTTTTTTGGGGAGTTGTTAAGAAAAAATAAGAAAGATATATATAGATATATGTACAAAGGACGACAGAGAGAGAAACAGTCGATTAAAAAAAAGGAGGGACACAACATGGGGGTTTCTTTTTGCAGCTTCCGTTTTTAATTTATAATTTTTGGTATTATGCTTCTTTGTAAATCCTTGCTGGACCAACCAACCAACCAATCAACCAGTCAATCAATCAATTAATCAACCAACTAACGAACGAGCAAAAGAGCAAAACGTAACAAAACGTAACAGAACGTAACGTAACGCAACGTAAGGGAAGTGTAAATGTTGGGGGGAAAGAAAAGCGCTAAAAGTCCACATTGGGCTGAGTAAAAACTTTCAGGCAAAAACAAATATATACAAGAAAAACACAAACACACACATACTACTGGCACATACAGCTGTTTGTTAAATAATAGTATTAAATATATGATAAGATATTTCTGTTAAAATATAAATAAAAAATAGAACATTAAAGCTGCCTCAATCACTTTGAATCTTTGAAACTATTAATACCATTATTTTCATTCTAACTGTATATTTTCTTATGTGTGTGTTTGGTTTTAATGCTGTTAGGCTGCTGCTGGGCGGTATAGCAATATTTTATGTATTTATTATTATTTTATTTTTTATCTTTTTGGTTTGGTAGTACAAGGCAGGGCAGGGGCGCTGGCAAAAGGGGGGCTTTCAAGGCTAGCATTCTGTACATCTGATATTTTTTTTATATTCAACTCACAAATCTTGGAATATTGATCAAGTTGTTGCTTTTGTTGCTATTGTTGCTTATTGTTGTTGCTGTAGTTGTTTAGGTCTTCATTGGGACGCAGTGCAGCAAGTCTTATTTGTTTATTGTCGCGTTTGTTGCGTGTTTGTGTTTAACTTTTTAGTGTTTTAAAAAATTGCAAAAAAAAAAAAATTGAATTGAAATAGAAACCGCCTGTGGTCCCTCAATTTTTCAACAGCTGCTTCTTCTTGGCTCTTTTTTTCGTTATCTCTGCGCGTTTTTCTAACTGTTTTACAAAAGTCGAAATCGAACATGGAAAAGGTGGGTGTGTGGGTAGGTAGGTAGGTGGGTGGTGGGTTTAACTAAAACAAAGCTAATCCTAGGCTCAACAGTAGCGCTTGAGTAAATCAGTAAACATTAATCAGTACAGTTGCCGTTACAAATTACAGTTATTCTTCCGTTTCGATGTCGATATTTTTTCGATTTCGTTTCTTTTCTTTTCTTTTAGTTTAATTTTTTTTTTTTTTATTATGTTCTCATCCAGTTTCGAACTGGAATGCCTCAATGCGTTTTGTTCTTTTTTCTCATTTTCTCTTTTTTCGGGTGGGTAAAATTGTTTGGCTTGAGTGGTTGAGTGGTTGGCTGGACTGTTTGTTATTTGCTTTTGCTTTTGCTTTTTATATAAATTTTGTAAATTTTAGGCACCCATCATTAGTTGCTCGAAGGCATCCTCCACATTGCTTTCGTCCAGCAGATTGAGATTGGCGATGTGCGGCATTGTGGCACTGCGACTGAGGCCACCACCTATCATGGGTGCACCACCGCTACGTAAGCCAGCGGTTGATACATTACCATTCGATGTGGTCAGTGAGCTTAACGATTTTCGTGCTGCCGCTGAGAGTTTTTCACTCGTTTTGGTGCGATTAATGGCTGATTTTCGACTGGAGGTCGATGTCACCGTGGTGCGTAGCTCCTCAACTTGACCGCCAGTCGGTGACTTGTTACCTGAGAAATAGGCAGCCACCGTCCGCTGTTTTTCACTAACTTGGGCCTTATCAATGCCCGCTTCGTAAAGTTTCGGTACTGCCAGTGAGTGTCCGGACTTGCTGCGTCTCAGTTCGCCGGGTGAACCCGGCTGGTTGTACTTTGCCGGACTTGGACCCGTCGTCTGTTGTAGCTGGCAGATTTGATTCCACGAATCGCACTTGCTCAGTCGATTAATCCGTGATCCTGCTTGCGTTCCCTGGTGCGTGTCCTCCTCGTGATTCCTCCGGCTCATCGAAGTAAAGGCACTTACATTGTTAAAAACTATGTTGTGTGGGATCTCGTCTTCGGGCGGAACTTGTGGCTGTGGTGTTGCCGGAGTTTCCACAATACTTGGCTTGATTTGCTGATGCTGCTGCTGGTGCTGCTGCTGCACCACTGTGGTGCTACTCATTGTGGTGCTGCTAGTGGCGTTGCTACTTGTTATGCTGCCCTGCTTATTCAGCTGCGGACTTTGATACGAATTGGGCATGTAATGATGACGCTGTGGTGGCCCGAATTTCTTCAGCAGTGGTGCATTCTCCTTGGGTAGCGATGACTTCACAATGTCCGGCGTATCGGGTGGTGCCGAGGATTTGTATTCCTGTTCAAAGGAATAGGTACTTCTGTGACTGCTCTCCAGGACATTACCCAAACTCTTGCGGCGCAGGTCGTTGATGTGCTGCTCCTTCTGCTGTTTCTGAATGGTGGTGCTATTATTGCTGGTAATAATGCTGGAGTTTAGGGTTTGCTGGGACATCACACGATTCTGCAGAGGACGATTCTCATAGCCTGAATCTCCCTGGATGGTATGACTACGGGAACTTAACCTGGGAGCATGCTTAGGCAGATTATTTGGTAGCTGCTGAGGGATCTGTTGAGGTAGCTGCTTGGGCAACTGCTGAGGGATCTGTTGCGGCAACTGCTTAGGCAACTGTTGTGGCAACTGTTGAGGTAATTGTTGAGGGATATGCTGAGGCAACTGCTGAGGGATCTGCTGGGGTAGCTGCTTGGGCAACTGCTGAGGGATCTGTTGAGGGATCTGTTGAGGGATCTGTTGAGGCAACTGCTGAGGAATCTGTTGCGGTAACTGCTTAGGCAACTGTTGAGGTAACTGCTGAGGCACCTGCTGATGAATCTGCTGAGGAATCTGCTGAGGAACCTGCTGAGGAATCTGCTGTGGAACCTGCTGATGCACCTGCTGAGGAATCTGCTGAGGTATCTGCTGAGGCAACTGCTGAGGCACTTGCTGAGTATTCTGCTGAGGCTGTGACTTTTGAGGAGCCTGCTGTGGCATCCTCTGCCCCGTTTGCTGGCTAATCTGCGGTTTTGTGCTGCGATCCACCGGAGGTCCCATGGAACTCACCGTCGGGACTGTATTATGCACCGGATTTGCTGTCCAACTGGTGCTACCCAGCGATAGCGAAGAGCTGGCATTCGAGTGTTCCGAAGTTCGACGCAATCGTTGGCTAATTGACGTGGCCATTGATTCCGGTTCGGGTTCATCACCAGAATCGTCCACGGGATATGTGACCACGTACGAGGTTTGGGTCTCTCCCAAGTAGGAATTGGAATCCTGATTGCTTCTTGGCGGTGTGTATGTGGGATTTGCTTGATAGTTGATCTGGGGCATGCTTACGGCTGGCGGCGTAGACATGGGCGAATTGGTGAACTGTGGCTGTCGCTTGGCCTCAAAGGTGCTCAATTGTGGGAAGAGTGGTTCCACCAGAGGCGCCTGATACTGTCGACCATCGGGCGACAGGCATCCAGACTTTGGTGAACTGGGAGCCGTCAATGGTTGCCTTCTTTGATTGGTACTTCCAATTGGTGGATTACCATTACCGCCTCCTAGATGTTTCATCGTATACAGCAAGGACTTGGCTGCCCTTGAGTTCTTTCCGTAAACCTCATCATCGCTCATATGGGCATTTCTTCTGTCCGCTATCCTCACAGCTGTTTGACTACGTGGCTTTCGCATCACCTTCGTTTCAGCCCGGTACTCCAGCATATTGTTATCCGAGTCCAGATCGAGATCATCGTCCGTATTGTCTGTCATCAAAGTGGGATTGGGCATGGTCATAAAACTCGTGGGACTATTAGGCGGACTATCAACATCCACATCTACTGGACTGCTAATATAATCGAATCTCCTGCTTCCGGGTGGGGGAAGATATGTGGGATTAGAGCTTGTGAGTACCAGAGGTGCTCCAAGGGGATTGGTCAATGCCTCGGCCTGTTCTACAGCACTTGTTAGGCAGGGCTGACTCCTGTAGTTGTGAGCATTGGCACCTTGTTGCCGTCTTACTGGTGGGAAATCAGCGTACGTAAATGAGATATTAGTGGGTGGCGGTGGTGCTTGATACACCTGTCTGGGTGGTGCAGCTGCACCCGGATCCATGGCATTCGGCAGGGATGGTCTCTTCTTAAACTCACTCAATTGTGGTGCCTTGGAACGCAGAGAGTTGTGACGCTGCAGATAACCATTATTGCCATTGGGATAGGCTGGCTGTTGCTGTTGTTGCTGTTGCTGGAGGTGCTGTTGCTCTAAGTTATCCCTCAAAGATCTCTCTTCAAAGTGGTGCGCCTTACGTCGGAAATCGCTGTTATCCACCTTGGGCTTGGCCACCCAGGGCAAGCCAATGGGTGAAGTGGCGGTTGAAGATGGCGAAGGTGTATTGCTAAACGTATTACCCGATCTTGCCTGCAAATGTTGCTGCGATTGGGGTGGCTGTTGTTGCTGTTGCGTTGGTGGTTTCCAAATGGCCGGATTTGGTTGAGATTTCTGAGCTATGGGCTTGTAAATACCAGGCTGCGGTTGGGTTTCATTTTCAATGGGACGGAATACGGACTGTGGAGCGTGTATAAAGTTATTGACTTGCGCGGCCTGTTCCCGCTGCTGCTGAAGTCGCAGCTCCATCTCCTGGCGTCTCTGTCGCTCGAGTTGCTCCTGTTGCTGACGTTGTCTGTCCAATTGCTGTTGCCTTTCGGCCTGTTGTCGTTGCAACTGCTGCTCGTAGTATTCGCGCTCCAGGCGAGTACGCTCCTCTCGTTCGTATCGCGCTTCCTGTTCGATTCGGAGTTGTCTTTCCAAATCCTGGCGACGTTGTCTTTCAATTTGCACAGCGGCAGCAGCTTGTTGTTGCTGCTGCTGTTGCAATTGATCGCGTTGTAGCTGCTCGCGCTGGAGTTGTTCTCGTTGGACTTGCTCGCGCTGCAGCTGCTCGCGTTGTAGTTGCTCTCGCTGCAGTTGCTCCCTTTGAAGTTGCTCGCGCTGCAATTTCTCTCGTTGTAGCTGTTCCCGCTGGAGCTGCTCTCGCTGCAGCTGTTCCCTCTGGAATTGTTCTCGTTTCGATAGCTCTCGTTGATTTTGATCGCGCTGATATTGTTCCCTTTGCAGTTGCTCTCGCTGAAGCTGCTTCAAGTCCCTTTGACTTAACTCTCTCTGCTCCCGCTGCCTTTGCTCCCGTTGATACTGTTCTCGTTGCATCTGCTCCCGCTGCATTTGTTCTCGCTGTAATTGCTGATGATGTAACTGCTCCTGTTTGGCCCAACCCGGCACATGACCCGGAACTTGTGGTGGTTTACCCTTGGTAACAGTGGCCGCTGCCCCGGTCTCAAAGGTATGCTTGATATTACCAAACTTGTGGGTCCAGTTCGAGACACTTCTGCCACCACCACCGCCCCAACCCAAGCCAGTCTGATGACTCTGCTTGTTGATAAAGGCCAGAAACTTGTGATCGTTCTCCGTTTTTGGCTCAAACGGCGGCACCGCATTGTGAACACGTCGCTTGACACTCACCTGCACCGCTCGCTTTAGTCCCAAGTGCGGACCATGGTCATCCTCCAAGTCCGAATCCGAATCACAGTCCGCCATGTACTTTGCCTTTGCTTTGGGTATATCGATGGTGTTGGCGCGCTTCATTAAGTGCTTCTTGCCACCACCAAAACGACTGGAATTCGAACTGGAGTTCGATTGCGAGTTGCTGGGGGAGTTTCCGTTGCCCTCGGGACTTGAGTTTTGGGAATTCTGATTCGACTCATAGCTGGCAAAGCTAACGGCATAATCGCCGGACAGGGGACGTCTGTTGGTAGTATTGGGTCTCAATTGAGATTGATTCTGGCTGGGATTTACCGGCGCCGCATTGGGTGGATTGATGGGTGACTGCTGCTGCGAGGGTTGGGCCACAAACTGATTGGGCCGGTAGAGCTGCACTGGCACTGCACTCGAACTGGGCGTCTTAGTCAGCGCAAAGTCCTTACCTTCCAGAATCAACATGTCCTCCATGTAGCGTCGGGCATCCGCTAGTTCCTCTCGACTAACGCCCACGGTGTGACGACTGTTACGCTGGCGACGTTTGGCAAAACGAGATTGCCGATTGTCTGCTTCGGATTCCGGACTACCCGCGTCGGCATCCTTTTGATCCTCGTTGGCCTTTTGATCCTCCGCCAACTTCTCGGGCGCATTGAGTCCACTCTGGAGGCGGGCCACCAGGCCGAGCAGAGCTTGCCGTTGACCACCATCAACGGCAAGTTCCTTGCCTTGTTTTAGGCTGCTCTCTAGGCGGCTAAGGGCATCGGTCACTTCTTCGACAAGGCTACGATTAGCTTCGCTGGCATCGCTACCACTCTGCTGTTGCAGGGTGTCACGCAATCCGGCGGCCAGCAGACGCAAATCCTCGCCACTCTCCGTGCCGGAATCCTCTTTCGAGGGCACGCTTAAGCGGCTGGCTGTGCTGGGCTGTGCTGCTCCAGATGCGGATCCTGTGACCGGCATCGTTTCCGGCTTGACTTTGTCCCTGGGCCTAACCACTGTGCTAACCTGGCTACTGCTAAGACTACTGGGTTTCTTACTACCTAAGCTATTGTTGCTACTGCCTGGTCCTGCTGCTCCTGTGATTCCTGTTTTCGTTGCTTTAACTGCTGCTGCTGGCAGGGACTCACCCTGAACCTGGACACCGTCTGTTGTCGAGGAGCTGCTGCTACTAGCCAGTTCAACTTTGGCCAACTTTTTGCTAACACTTTCGGTGACTTGGCTGGTCTTGGTCTCCGTCTTTTCCACCTTTTTCACAGCTGTTTTCTGTTGGGTCTCCTCCTGTTTGGTGACCTCTTTTTTGGTCACCTCTTTTTTGGCGACCTCCTTTTTGGGCTCCTCTTTTTTGGGCGGTTCTTCTTCTTCGTCGTCGCTGTAATCGGTCACCTCCTCGATGATCTCCTCATACTCGCTGGCGCTGCTTTCCTCCTCCTTCTCCTCCTCCTGCTTCAAATTCTTTTGTTCTGCTCGTCGCAGCAAGGAAAGTCAAGAGATAAAGGAAATATAGATAGAGAGATGGCGAAAGAGTTGGAAAGACTTAAAACTCGCAACGAAAACGCAATCAAGCAATCAAAAAAAAATACATGGGATCTGTAATTTTGGAACGAAAATTGCTCAGTTGTGTGGAATATTTAAGTATAGTGAATAGCTTAGGGTTGGTGAGAGTATCTTAAAAGGTGTGAATCTTACAGATCTTTCAAATACTCTGATATATAACCTATAAACCCATCACTACTCTTTCATACTCATCCATCTGAGCATCGATACAAATCAAACGAATTAAAGATAGAAGACTCGTTTGTGGATCGTACAATGGATCGATTCCAATTTTATGTGGGGCTTCGACGCGAGACTTTTGCTGAACATTAAACGATATATAGATACAACATAGTAAACGATAACTTCAACGATGTGTGGAACGCGACGAGGAAACGATAAATGGTCATCGATTTGGGTAGGAACAATGGACATGACCAACATCAAAACGCTGGGTGGTGTAATACCTGTAGACTCTAACGGTAACCGAGGAAAATCGAATAATAATCGGTATAACTTTGGTCCTACTGACTTCAAATATCCTGCCTAGCTAGTTGCTGTGTGCATTATCTACAAGATACAGATACAGAACACAATATAGAGACGGCGCTTTGCCTCGATATATCACTGCGTTTCCATGTAAAGATCTCTCTAGATCTCTGGTGCTGTTTGAAGTGGATGTTGTTGCTAATCCGCTGGCTTTTCTTTTGGATGTGGGATATTATGGAGTTGTGGTAATTATAAAAGCACTCACCTTCGCGGTCCGCCATAAGTTCGCGTAGACGTGCACGGATCTTGCGACGCTCCTCGTAGGTGGACGCCTGTTCGAGCTGCAAGGATGGATGATGATTAATTGATCGGTTTTGAAAAGCACAAATAAAGGATCTATTTTTGGTAGCACTTACCAATTGCTTGAGGATTTGCTCGTCCCAAATCTCCTCGATGTCACAAGTTGTGCGTGTAACTGGTGCTGAGGAGCTGCTGACCTTGCTGGTTGTGGTGGTGATGTTGCTATTGTTGTTGTTGTTGTTGGTGGTGCTGCTGCTGCTGGTGGTGCTATTGCCGGATTTACTGTAGGTGTTAGTTATCCGCGTGGTCTTCACCTAAAAGCGAAAGTAGAGATTTGGCGGAGATCAGCAAGTATTCTTTTTAGTTTTTTTTTTTTTGTTTATCAACCGGAAAATTTCATTTAATTTTTGTGTGTGGGTGAGAAACAAACGCCAGCTGTTTGGGCCGGGCTAAATAAAGCACGATGAGCACATTCGCCGGCCACAGAATCCACGCCAGCCAGCGCAATTATTCACTTGCCAAGAGTTGCCAACAAAAATTTGGTGGCACATCGGACCGATCGATGGCCGTGATAAGGCAGAAACCAAAAATCAATTTGTCAGTACAATGTGTCCTTAGCCGTGATTTCGAATGCGGCAGCTACCCCCTCAGCTTCCGCCTTCGGTTAATCAATGTCGCTGCATACCTGTCGTATGCGTAATATGACCAAGTATATTACATACAAAGTTCGTATACGACATGTTGAGCACAGGTAAAAGCCTTAACAAAGGCGAAGCAAGCTTTGTTCGTGATTATTTGTCATTACAATGACAATTTATTAAACATAATATTAAATTAAATAATTAATTACTGAAAAACATAAAGAACTCAAGCTACAAATTAAAATCCTAAGATAAATGGAAATTCTTCGAAAATTTCCACTCTGGAAAGCACTTCAAATCTAGTCCATTTTTAAGCATCAGCACATCAAGAGTTCATTGATACTGAACGACATCGAAATACAAATGTTATCAGCGAATTTATGGCGAAAATTCATTTTAATTGCCCCAAAAGAAAAGACCGCCAATAAAATTTCTCTTTGTGCCGTCGAAAGGCACATCAGATAAATCAGCTAAAAGCGTTTATAGACCCCCGAATTAATGCCAAATATTGATGCATACATACGAGTATAGTAAATGTCTTTATAGATATATAGAGTGCAATTAAGTATACGCCGCGTTGGCCTGCAATTTTTGATCATCAAGCAAAGATGAAAAACAACGCAAATGCCAAACAAAAAAAAAAAAAAAGGAAATCTGTATATACTGTGCTCTCTATTTTTGCTCTCTTTCCCAGCCTTCTTCTGGCAGAATGAAAAATGTAGTTGTTTATATCAATTTGACCAAATTTGGTCAGCGGTATGGGAAATTTTCTTTTTGAAAAACTGACTTCCAACATGTTCGAAAAACGCCCCCGCTCTTCCTCTTGCATCACGCGTTGCTATTTTTAATTATAAATTATTTAAGCACACACACACATAGGAACACATATCCAACGAACGAGTCGAGTATTTCAGGAAAAGTTCTTCATATTTTCCTCTCCCATTCTCCGTTTGTGCTGTTCTTTTGGGCCAAACTTTATATAATATTTGTGTGTTGTCTTGTACCGACCAACAACAAACAAACCAAAATTAATTGCCAAACATTTTTACAATTCTCGCCTCCCCCTCGCTTGCTTGCATGCCTTTGTTATTGTTGTCAAAATGTGGGCCACAAAATACAACGGTTTTCATCTAATTTGACTTGGTTTAATTTGAATTTTATTCTTTTCGCTTTTTCGGTTTATTTTTAATAATTTCTTGTTTTTTTTTTTAGTTATATGTTATTTTTGCTTTGGGGGACTGAAAAGGCTTGCCAACTATTTGGCGCAATTCCGCCAAAGCGTAACAAATAGAGGGGTAGCAAACCAAGCATGGAAATCAAAATGGAAATTGCAAAAAGAAAAACAATTAAAAAGATTCGCTGGGCGGGGGCAAATGGGGAGTGCAGCTGACCAAAGCGATCATTGCCAGTTAGCTCTGCTGTTTTTTTTTTTTTCTTCTTTTCTGCTGCACTTGGCCATTGACTGTTGGTGGTGCTGCTGCTGCTGGTCAACAGTTTTATTTTGTTTCGGCTTTGACACTGCCTCAAATGGTTGAAGGGGGCAGAGACAGCCATTTGATTGATGGCCACCAATTTGTACGAGCACCCAGACACTGTCGGAAAATGGAGCACCTAAATATAGGCTTTTCAGCTTTTGTTTTTTTTTTTTTTTAGAAATTTCTGAACTCAAATTTAATATGCTATATATGTTGTAGGCTAACACACCCCTATAAAGGTTATAGAGCTAGGTTAGAACTTATGCTGGACTTGTATTTTTCTGTTTTTTAATTTAAATAGAGAAAAGGAAAGCAATTAGCATAATCATAAAACTTAAATCACAACATTGCCTCCAGAAACCTTTTTTCTCGGTGTACTTTTGTACTTGGCAACCAAATGGATCACTATTGACCTCCTCCCATAAAACAAAAAAAAAAAGAAAACTTAACCAATGGCAGACAAGGAAAAACCCGATTATCCATGCAAAAGAATGATGATTTTCATTTTGCGTTTCCAAATTGACTTTCTTTCGTTTTCATTTTCGATTTTGTTTCTTTTGTTTTGCTTTTTTTTTTTTGTGTAGTTATTTGTATTTTTAGCTCAGGCAAAATGAGAAATTATTTGACATGCAAAATGCGAAGCAAAGAGACAAAGACGAAACAGCCAACACGCACACACCAGTGATTATGAAACGGCAAAAAGCAGGAAGAAGCAGGCAGCTCCAACAAAAAAAAAAAAAAAGATGATTGGAACGATGGGAGTCGCAGCGGTTAAGGCTGTTTGACAAAGCACGAGATGCGGCATATATGCACCACATATCGGCTGCACAACATGCATCATCTCGAACGATCAAAGATATATATGGAGATTTTTTTTTATGGCAAGAAAAAACATGTTTTTTCAAATTTGTGTTGGCTTAGCTTCACTGTTTCAGCTGTTTGCTGCTGTTGCTGACAGGGCTTAAGCGTATTATCCGTTGTGTTCCCGAAACCTCAAGAGATATTAGAACAATATTTTCTGTTTTCTAAAGTCAGCATTGTATGTATGTATGTTGTGGTTGCTCTTATGTAAGCATTAAGATTTTGTTATTATGATTTAAAGTTGATTATTTTCAAAGAAGAAGGTATTTAGAAAAACTAACACCTCCAGCTAGTATAGGTCATATTCTCATATTTTCTTTCCAAAACCAAGTTCACTTCTCAAGTCGGCGTGATAGGGGGCATAATGGAAACCGGCTTCCCAACTCAAAGCACTTGCTGCAGCAGCAGCAGGCGATGCTTAATCACCAAACGCAGAGTTGGTGAGCTAAAAAGGGGGAGTTTGGGGGCTCAGGAGATTGCTGAAGCGGCGTTTGAGGATTTGCCGCTCTGCATGTTACGCTCATGGGGCAGCTGAATAGCAGCACACCTGAAAATGGCAAACAGAAACGGCATTTCTCTACGTTCCAGTTCGATCGGTTGAAATCGGGGATCCGTGGAGCTTGCCATGGGCACTTGCCATCTGGAGTGGACGTTCTAGAGTGAGCGCCACTATATCAAAGAATATAACAAATAACTATAATTAGTTATATCTATCAAAACTACTAGCTATCTCTGTACTATAAAAATCCTTAAAGATCTTAAAAAATCTTGTACCCTACAAGTTTATTTTTGTACCTAAAAATGAGCTATTTGCAATTCTAAAGATTCTTTGAAGTTAATTATAAATTTATAAAAAGAAAACATTTTATTCTGCTGCATTTTGGTAAAAGAATCTTCTCGATCAGCTGAAACCACCATGTTGGGATCAGTTAAAAAAGTGATAAAATGGATGTGATTACCTTTTCCAAGGGGAGATGATAAAAATGCTATCCATAGCTTCGTTCAAACGGTATATATATATATATATATATATATATATCTAGGAGAATTCCTATAGCATCGGCTATAGGGGAATCGGTATTTGGTTCACACAAGTGGAGGAAACGGGAACATCAGATGCCTAAGTCCGTTGCTGCAGTTGCACATGCACCATCCCATTGCCCACAGTGGCCGTTCGACCCCTTCCTCCTTCTTTCCGCCTTCTACCATATTGTGTGTTGCCCAAAAATGCTCCAACATAGTCCGTATAGTCCGTAAAAATAGTGCCCGTCGTTGGAGCTATTTTTGTCGAAATTTTCCGTACGCTTGACGCTCTCATTCATGCATCCTCCTGCTCTCTGCTCTGTTTTTAAATGTATTTATTTATTTATTTGCTCTATAGCTGGGAAGATGAGCGTGTCTGTATCTCGGCAGACTTCTCTATATATATATATATATATATATATATACATGTATAAATAGCTATATGTATCGGTGGATATAGATCTTTCAAAATATATATCTAAACATATATACATATATCCATATGTATGAGTATGTGTGTGAGTGTAGAGATCTTTGGCGGTGTCGTCGCCTTTCAGGTGCATTTTGAGGTGTCGTGACAGGAATGCTTCGTTTTGCCAGCAAATTATGCGCACTAAAAATAATTGACAAAAGTATTTGCCCTCGCCTGCCTGCCTACTTTTTGCCCCATCATCTTGCCCCATAAGTAGTAGTAGTGTAGTAGTATGACATGAAACTTACGCCTTGGTCTGCGTTTCGTTTGCCTCTTGTTTTTTTTTTTTGATGTTGCTCGTGGTTCTCGGGATGTTGCTGTTAGACCAAATATGGACACTCGCGTTCGTTCACCATATAACGATAATATAATAACAGAACTGCACAGTAAAAAAAACTACAAAACTTGTCTCTTTTTGTTATCCGCTTCTATTCGTTATTATTACTCTTTTTGCTTTTATCTATTTCTTTTTTACTTTTTTTTTGTTAACACAAGTGGTTCGCTTGGCACTCTTTTATTATTCTTTTCTTTCTGCTTAGCTGTTTGGCCCGTGGTTCTTCGCACAAGTGATCGATGCCGCCTCTGAGTTTCTACTGACAATTTCGATCTCAATGCCGAGATGCGCTTCTGCCTCTGCTGGCGTCGCTGCCTCAGCCGCAGCCTCTGCTAATGTCCGATGTACAGCAAGGGCAAACATTATAGCAGTCTATGTTCAATTTAATGTTTCGAAAGCTTAGAGACATATTTTTGAGTCTTAAATCATCATTGATCTAGAGTTTTTATCATAAATATTATTTTTTAATTGATTTTGTTTTTCTTTATTTTTTTTCGTTCTCTCATTCAGAGAAAATCTTTATATATCGATTTATGTTTTTTACTATAATTGATTTATCTTATCAAAAACAAGTACACGTTTTTCTTGCCGCCAGTGTACTTGTAGCTTTCTGACCAGCCAGGCATTGCGCATCTATCGCATCTCTTCGCACATCGCATCACGCACACGGCACACATATGCCGTAAAGTGCCAGTGCGGTACAAGTGCGAGCGGGACAAGTGAAAGGTGTGGAGAGAGCAACGGTTGTTGCACACCAAATCATGGCAAAGGAGAAAGATCGAGAGGTACGGACAGAACCAGAGAGAGTAAGCACGCGCTCAGTTAACGGTTAATCGAGCACGTGCACGTGCTTGCGCGCATCATTGAGGTTAGGTTATGCTTGCATGGCACTTGCAACAACAATGAGTGTCTAAAACGTGCAACAAGTGCTGGAAAAACTGTAAAAGAATACCGCTTTTCTGAATTAAACTCATATGGAAAATAACTTCATAAAAATGCTTTTATATTATTCTTCATTTGCACATTATTTCGCGTATCATCTTTTTTTCGAAACATGTTAATTTTTTTTTTTACTGTAAAAGGGAGAAACCAAATTTCTCGTCCGAAAAATTGAATAAAATTTACAATTTTAGCTGTGAATGCAGTTTTGTTGGAATTTTAATTAAGAATTCAACGAGATATAGCTATTGGCTTAGTTATAGACAAAATACTGCCACTTAAAGGAGCCAAAAGGGAGAAACCAAATTTCGCATTTTCGATAAGGGGTAACATCGTCGCCACGCAAAAGCCAACGGCATTTCGAACGCTCTGCTTACAAAACTAGGAGAATATAAGAGATAAGGAAGCGGGAGCGGATCGAAAGCTCGGGCAGACAAAGCTTAAAACAAAATTTTATCAAAACAAGCAATAGCCAATGGTCTTTAAAATTGGTGGATATTGTTACTGCAGATCCGATTAGGGTAATATTGTTTAATTTTGAAAATAATGAAAAATCTGATCTGATCTGCTACGAATTGGCGCCATTATTGGCGTAGTTTTGGGACTAATACTATGTCTTTTGGGGGAAACATAATCAATATACATATTTCTTTACTCACGCCTTGACTGTTTAGACGCTGCCCAGTGGCTGTGGGTGGCAACATGCTTTCGACGCCTTGCATAATGACACTGGCTCCCAGAAATTTGTTGAGCAGAGCACGGGCTTCACGATCCTCGCTAGTATCTCCGGGCTCCTCCACTAAAAACAGAAGAATATTTAAGTTAGAAATTTCTGACAAGTTTTGGGTCTATTCGATTCTAACCATTGTCAGCATTTCGCATACGCTCGAGGACATCGTCCACACTGGTCACCTGACGCTGATCGGCACTGCTATTGAGGAAAGATCGTGTGTTGCTGGATCGGGTGGTGCTACTGATGTGACTCTGGTTTTGGCGCATTTGTGGCGCCTCGATAACGCTGCAAACCTCATTGGATTCGCTATCGTCCTCGGTTTCATCCTCATGCCTTACGACCGATTGGGCAGTCGACGAATGGGTTGAATGAGTGGATGAGGAGGACTCTTTACGTATGAACTTCTCGCTGAGCTCTTTCACAGATCCGCGGCGTACATATCTGGCATCCTCCGGTAGCGATTGCTGGGACTCAATCTTCTTGAACTCCCTAACCACTCGGGCATCCAATTCCGGGGGTGAGCTATCATCCTCATCCTGCAGTTGCTGTTTAATGGCAGCTAATTCATCAGCGTTGCTTGAGTAGATCAGCTCCTTACGCTCGTGACGAGGTGGGGACTTATTATCCGAGTAGAACTGCTCCTCAATAACATAGCCTGTGACTTCTAAAAGTGAAATAAGAATTAGCCTTCGATTCTTTATGATATACTATCAGGTTGCTACTCACCTTGCTTGGTCTCACAGGGCTCCTCTGCCGGTGGGGTTGTCTTCTTCTTGAGCGCACGAATGCCGAAGAGCGGCAGTCCATTCTCGTCCGTGGGTCCCACACCGTAACTAGAGGTAATTGAATCCTCTTCGCGTTGCTTATTGCGTGTATTGGTTGTGCTGCTAGTGCTAGTGGTGGTGCTGGAGCTGGTCAATGTGCGAGTGATCTTGCCACTGCTCGAAGTGGTACTGGATGTGGATCCCTTTCGGGGAGTGCTGCCATTAGTTTGAGGAACAGCCGCATGACCCTTCAGTACCTTGGAGCGATCTGCCCAAATAGGTCCTTGAGCAGGCTTGCTGGGGGCACCGCGAGTGGTGCTACTAGTAGTGACCTTGGTGGTTGTGGTGGTGCTTCTATCTCCAGGGGATTGTTTTCCCGGTGGACTAATACGACGTTTTTGAGCCGGACTGGCACTTCTTTCCCTCGGCTTCACTGGCGGCTTGCCCTGGGGCGATGTCTTGCCTGGTGTTCCTGAGGTGGTACTATCCACCTGCTCCACCCTCTGTTGTTGCTGCCGACGGCTCGTTGTGGTGCGAACTTCCTTGGTCTTTATTTCAGATAAGCCTGCAGGACTCTGATCTCGCTTCTTCAGAAGCGGTGAACTCTTACCAGGAGATGTGGTGGTGGTAACAGTAGTAATGGTAGTAGTGGTACCTGCATTGATCATGTTCTTGCGTATGAGACGCATCTGGGCTCGAATGCGGCGACGCATCTCGTAGCTAGCCACCGTCTCCAAGAGTTTCTCCAGTCGCTGCAGATCGAAAATCTCCTCGATCTCTATCTCCAAATCGGAGTCCTCATCCTTACCCTTCAACGATGTCTTCCTTGGTTCATCTGCACTTCTTGACGGTGTCTTTCTGGGCACATCAAACTTTACGGATGTGTTGGGATTGCGTGGCTCCACCGGAGAATCATCCTCTACCGAGGACTTTCTGGAGTAGTGACTCTTGTTGATCTCCAGTGAATCACGTCGAATGTGCTCCAGAGAGCTCTTCGTATGATCCATGTACGAGGGACGACGTCCAGTGGGCTCAGAATCAGCTGGAGATTCCTGGGTTGGCTCAAAGACATTTCTGCGGCTAGCCACATTTCGGCCAGTGGTGGTGTTCGTCGTGTAAGTGGTGGTGATGCTCTTTTCTGTAAGGGATTCAATGGGTGTGATTTCGGGTTCGTCTTTGTTTGGATTAGTCTGAGTCGGTTTGGGAGTAGTTGACTTGGTGGTGCTCGGGTGGCGGTGCTCAGTGGTGGTGGTGGTTGTGGTGGTTGTCGTGTTCAAATTGGTGGAGGTGCGTCTACTGGGCGATCGGGAGGGAGATCGCGATGGTGATCGCGATGACGTTGGGGATGGGCTCTTTCCGTGTGGCTTTTCGCTGATGTGAGAAGGTGGCGCCGGTCCCACTTGCTCCACGTCCACATCCACATCTTGAATTACCCAGGACTGCTGACTGATTTGCTCCATTCGCTTGGAATTGCTGGTGGTTTTAGGGGATGGCGATTGGGCAGGGGCTACGGCCGAAGGTGTGGTTTTTCTGGTTCCCGGCTTGGTCACATTAGTCACTTGATTTCTATAGGATCTCTTCTCTTCGGTAATCAAACTGGTGCTTGGACTTGGCCGACCACGATTTCCATTCATCTTAGTTGGTGAAGGAGTGGTGCTGGGCTTGCGTTCTGGAGTGCGTTGGCCAAAGACCGAAGGACGGTTAAGGATATCTTTTTGACGCTTAACTTCGATGGCTGTGGTATGGTTCTTGGTCATTGGCAAGGGCTCATCATCGAATTCTTCTTCAGGGGAGTATTCCGGCTCGTCCTCAGATTGCCTAAGGGGTACCTTACGTGGTTCTTTTTGGGGAACCATCTTGGTCACCCTTTCCGGTTCCTCTTTGAGCACTGTTTGAGGCATCTTGGGTTCCCTTTTGTTTACCTTTTCTGGTTCATCTTTGAGCTTAGTTAGGGGTTGTTTTTTGGGCTCCCAATGGGACGTTTTGGGCTCCTTTTGAGGTTGCTTTTTGGGCTCCCATTGTGATACTTTTTGTGGAAGCTTTGCCTGATATTTGGGCACCTTAGCCGGTTCTTCTTTGAGCCTGGTTTGTGGTTCTTTTTGGGGTATTTTCTTGGGTTCTTCCTTGGAATCCCTTCGTGTCTCCTTGGTTTCTTTAGTTTGCTGATTGAATTCCCTAATGGTTTCCTTCTTGGTTACAGTCTGAGTGATTTCCTCCTCGGTGTCCAAATGGCTAGTTTGGTTCCCATCCTCAACATCTGTATCCCGATCCAGCTCGGGCTCTGATTCCTCATCTAACTCGCGCTCTGGCTCGCTTTGCCGCGAGATATGACGCTCAATGTTGGCCACCAAGCGTGGCGACTTTTGTGGCATGGTGGGTGCCAACTTCTCGGCTGTATCGATGAACTTGTGAACTTTCTGGGAGACACTCAAGGTACAATCGTCCTTAAGAAGCTCTTCATCGATTTCCTCTAGCCCTGGCCGCTCGATTTCTGGTCGAGGCGACAGCGAAGAAGGCCTTATTACATTCTCAGCAGTGCGCAAGAACTTGTCCACCTTCTGGTTAATGCTAAGAAGACACTCATCGTTTTCGGGAATCTTGGCGTGAGTATCGAATTCCCTACTAAAAGGTGCAGAGGCCTTGGGCTGCTTTACTTTTTCAGCGGAGTGGGTGAATCGGGAAACCTTCTCGTGGACACTCAACAGACTTTCGTCAGTATCGGGTGTATTTACGGGATAATCCAAACTCTTTGGAGCCTCCACAGTGGGATTGTCCAGGATATCGACCTCTATGCCATTGGAGGTGCGCAATTCGGATATTTGACAGCCAACATAGGTTTGAGATTCCTCTTCGAAAATGGGAATATTTGTGACTTGCGGCTTGCGACGCGGTTCATCATCGGGCTCCTGTACCACATCCGGATAGCGAGGTTTTCCCGTTTCAACTTCAGCTGGTACTGGAGTTGGCACAATCCTATCCGGTGATGGTTCCCTCGAGCTCTTCGCCTGCTGAATGTCGATTATTACACCTTCGATATCGGTGGCTGTGTTGATTCGTTGCTCGCTCAGATTGATCGTCTTGGTGGTGCAGCACTTATTGGGTCGAGTTCTTTCTCCACCTGGCTTGAGGCTACTCATCTCTGGATGAGGCTTATTACCGCTGACTTTAATAATATTCTCGCTGGTGGATCGTGTGACCTTCTCGGTTTTGTCGCGACGAGTTACTCGGGGAACAGGTGCCGATTCCTTGCGCTCTGTGACTGGTAGTTTCCTAATCGGACTGGGAACGCTGCCAGAGCTACTTTGTGGTCGTCTATCTGTTCTCGGGGACTTAGGAGCCGCATGATCTATGATAATCTCCGTGTGCACGGAAATATTGCTAGATCGGCGACGTTCATTACTCACTCTCGAGGGGCTGGCATCTGGTGAAGTGGAGTCTCCATCGACATCATCTTCTGGGTTACGCGATTGTGCCGGTGTGGGTGTTCGGGTCTGTTGCGGAGAAGTTTTCTGCTTGCGCGGCGAAGATCGAAGTCGATCCTTGATAGAGGGCGAACCATTAGTATCGCTGGGCTTACGTCCTTGGCGCGTTGTTGTTGTTGTGGTTGTGCTCGTTCGTGTCTCCTCCACCAAACTATCGCGCTTGCGACCCGTTGAGGAATCTTTGCGAGGACTCTTTGCTGCCGGAAGCCTTGTTTGCGGCTCCTTAGGGGTCACAGGTTGCTTCGCCTTAGTGGTTCGCGAATTGCGACGTTCGGTTTCGGTTTTCGTAATGCTCACACTGGTCTTTTTCTTGGTCTCTGGTTCGGAATCCTTTTCCGGCTCCGATTCAGATTCGAACATTTTTTCCGGGACCTTTTGTGCTGGCTTCGAACCCTTTTTGGGTGTACTGGGACTTGGAGTTCGAGGACTCGGACTGATCTTTTCAACAACAATAGTTTTTTCCTGACAATCAATAACTTTTTCGGTCACAAAACTGGATTCCAGCTTTGTTGGAGTTTTTCTGGCCAAGGCAGGAGACACGGAGGGCGATGCAGTAGGAGAGGGAGACTGTGAGTTCTTGGAAACTCTACGTTCCGGGGAAGGTGACCAAGTGGGAGATTTGGTACCCTGCTTGGTTATGACAATTGTGGTCTCTTCATTAAGATTAATGGTCTCGGCATCCTCTTTAGGATTCCTAGGGCTCTCCTTGGGATATTCTGTATCCTTCGGATACCTTGGGCTGTTTTGTTCCTTCGGATACTTGGGCTTTTCTTGCTCCTTGGGGAAACTTGGGGTTTCGTCTTTCCTGGGACGCTCAGGAGTCTGTTCTTTTGGAGTTCTTGGAATCTCTTGATCATTTCTAGGAGTTTTCGGACTATCCGCCTCCTTAGGTGTTTCTTTTGAGGAAGTGGCAAGAATTTCCACGTCCTCTGGTTCAGTAACATCAATAAGAAGCTCCTCTTCCACCTTGATCTTGGGCTGCGTACGCACCACAAAAGTTTCAGTCACACGACGTGGCTTATCATCGTCATCATCATCAGGGCAATCCTCAATCTTTACTTGAATAGTCTCTATGGTGGTGTGGGTAACACTCTCATCCTCCTGATCGGTATTCGGTCGCTGAGTAAAAGTTCCCTGAGTGTCACCATCTTCTTCCATACCCAAGATTTGGCGACAGCGATCCTCGAATGTTTCACGACGAGTCAAACCCTTTTTCCGATAGGTGGGTGGCTCTTTTTCATCGGGCTGGGGCTCAGCTTCTGTTCCCTTCGAGGGAAATCCACCATCGGGACTTTCAATGGTTTCCTGCGGCTTGGTTTTCGGTTCATCTTTACCAGGGACTTGCGGTTTCTTTTCGTAGTTAGGCTGATTCTGGTTTTCTCGTTCGTTCGTTAAAAATTCTTCGTTAAAATTGTTGGTGGTTCGTTTTTGAGTTGTGGTAATGGTACTACGGAAAATATCCTCCTCTCGTTGTTGTTGACTGTTTAGTTCCCTCTCCGGACTTTGACGGGGTTTCTGCGGAATGTCCTGTGGCAATTGCTTCTCGGGACTTTGCCGAGGTGAAACACGAGGAAGTCCGGATGCTTTATCAGGAGAGTGAGCTCTGGGTATCTGCTTTTCGGGACTTTGGCGGGGAGAAACACTAGCTGGGGCAGCCTTATCGGGACTCTGTGCTCGGGGCAATTGTTTTTCGGGACTCTGACGGGGAGAGACTTGAGGATGAGTCCATCCAGGAGTCTTCTCAGGAGTCTGGCCACGAGGTATGTACTTTTGGGGATGGCTAGGTGTGCTAGTCCCTTGTGGTTGCTTCAAGACTTGCTCCTTTTCAGGACTTTGTCTAGGAGTTGCCCTAGGCTGTGGTTTCTCGGGACTCTGAGCCCTGCTTGATGGCTTTCCAGGACTCTGAGCCCTAGGTGTGGGTCTGGCAGATATTGTGGGCAAGCCTGGAGCTCCGCTCATCTGCTCGATAAGAATCAACTCGTCGATCGAGAGCTCTCGATCCTCTGGCTGGGAGACGCGACGACCTTCGAAAGTAGTTTCCCGCTGCACCGGACGTGGCTCCACACTGGGCGACTTGGAGCTACGCCTCAACTGAGGCTCCTGTTCATCGTGGGGCCTTCTCATTGGATGGGGCTTCTTGCTGGCTGCAACGGATCAGGGCATAAGACTGGGGGACGCAAAGCGCTACGTGAACTCGACTACTTCCTTAACCGGTGTGTGCTAAGGTGTACATAAGTTGTGTCTACTATGGCAGAGCCCTTTTGGTTAATTTGGTTAGGATTAGTTACAACTACGCTGGCAGCTGGCAGCTTCAGCAGCTACTTGGTTAGGCAAAATTCTACGGTATTAGGCAGGCGCAGGCGTAGGCACGGGCACATGCAATGTCAAAATACACCCATTAGTTGGAAGCTCAAGAAAAAGAAAGGTTAGACTTGGACTTAGTAGAGTTAGGGCCGCAGATGTCTCTCTCTCTCTCTCTCATACATTTGCAACCCATATTTATTGGCTTCCCAGTTTGTGATTCAGTGCAAATATCAGTTTGTGTGTTGTGTGCTTTGGTCAAGACATTGAACATTGAACATTTCAGAGTTGCGGTTTTGGTAAACAGTTTTCAAGTATATTTATTTGCAAAAAAATCCAAAAAAATTAAGAAAGTATAGATAGCATAGTTAGGTGTACAGAGTTTCTTGATTTTGTATATATATTTTTTTTTTTTTTTTTTTTTTATATATCTTTTTGGCAATTTTTCGGGTAGTGGTTGAATTCAAGCCTTACCAGGGGTCCCTGAGCTCTCGGGCGTCTCTGGGGTTTCCCCCTCGTTTCCCAGTTGGTAATATTGACGCCGCACACAGGGTGCCTCTTCCACCACCTTTGCCTCGTTAGCGCTCAGCTTCACCTTACGGATTGGCTGGGAATCGGTATCGTTACCGGTATCAGATTCGCGTTCGGATTTGCCATTTGCAGATGGTTTCTGATGATTCTGGTTGTTGTTGTTGGAGGAGGTGGTGGTTGTTGTTGTTGTTTTGGTGGTGGAGGTTAGTGTTGGTTCGTTGTTAATAGTAGGAGGAGTAGTTGGTGGCAGAGAGAATATATCGCCGGGCTTAGTGGTAGTATACGTATACTGTGATAGCTTGTTATCTGAAGGATATACATTCATATACATAGTTCATAGTTCCAATATTTATATAGCATATATATATATATATTCATGTGATTTTTAATTATTTTTTGTTTTTTTTTTTACTAAAAAGTTATCAAACTTTCGAATTTTATTTTTCTCTAATTCGTACCTGGTGGTGCGGAACTGGCTGGTGCTGGAGTGGATGGTGCGGCGGTTGTGGGTGAAGCTGGTGCTGGACTGGGACTGGACTTGGTGGTGCTGCTAATGGTAGTCGTAGTGGTAATAACATTTCCTCCTGATTTCGGGGTTGGGGACCTTGGCTCGCTGGGACTCTTAACCGGCTTGCTGGTCTTGGTCTTGGTAGTGCTGGTGGTGGTAGTGCCACCTGTATGCCTAGTCACAGTGGTCGAGCTAATTCGGCTTGATTCCGATGGTGCCTGGCTATCATGCGAACCCTCACGCATTTCCCGACGGAAGGTGCGATTCGAGGAGACACTCGATCGTGGCGTCTGATGGTGCGAACCCACCGAGGTGGTGCTGTCAGCCGGTGAACTGCTGCGCAGCGAGGCGGCAAATGCCCGATGGGCGGCATCCACTTCACGCTCCTTTTGCAACTGTCGCCGCGTCAACGGCTCCGAAGTGGTGGTCGTCTTTGTGGTGGTGCTACCTCCAGTGGTAGTGGGACGAGATTGACTCGGTTTGCCAGCTGGTCCACGAGGTGAACTAACAGTATGGCTACCGTAATCCTCGCGTGGTTGAGATCGACGCGGACTTCCAGTTCGTGGTGTAGAATGAGTGGGAGCATGTGGATGTTCCACCTGGGTCTCAATGATATGCTCTGTGTTCGTCTTGCGATTGGCGCTCTGATTGCGACTCACCGTCTTGGAAGTCTGCAACACCTCGCCATCGGGTTGATCCGGACGGTGAGTGGTTGAGCGCACCGAAGGGAAACCATGGGTGCTGAAATCCTCATCAACCGGATGACGTCTGGTGGTGGGTTGCTCCCAACTGGGCGATGGTGCCTCCCTTAGCTTCTGTGGGGATCTCTGTGGCTGCTGGTAATCATCACCCACCACCTCCGTTTCGGTGGTTCGCTGCGAGCTAGACTGTTGCTTCACCTGGCGGCTCTTCTCCGAACGCACCACCACTACCTCTTCGCCGGCGGGACCGGGTCTTTGAGAGGGATATTCCTGGGTGGGCTTATTCGGGCGCACCGATGGGAAACCATGAGTGCTGAAGTCCTTGGCCGGTGACTGACGTGGTGAGTGAGAAGGTTGGGCATACGAGGGAGTCTGTGTCTTCTGCACCACCCTGGACAAAGGCTGACCACGATCATCGTACTCCTCTACAGTTTCCGAGGTAGTCTCCGTGGAGAAACGTCGGCTGGACTTCTTAACCGAGGAGTAGCTCTGCGACTCCGTCACATGCTTCTGCTCCACATTTTCCACCACATCGCGAACTTGACTATCCTGCACATCCTGTGCACGTCGCTGATTGTGGGTCTGGTTACGGGTTTGATTGTGGATCTGATTGTTGGTTTGGTTGTTGGTCTGTCTGTGGGTTGTCTGACTCTGGCTGGGAGTAAGTTGCTCCGTCTCGTAGCGTTTGTTCTTGACAATGGTTCCATCTGGCAGCCGCTTAACCGTTGTAATCATCTTGACATTTGGCTTGGGATACTCCACCGTATTGGAGATTATCTCCCCGGGCTGCTCCATCAAGTGCTGAACATGACGCTGATACTCAGGAGAAGCCTTATCCATATCCACATAGCGCTTATTCTCCTCGTAATGCTGCTGGGTCTGGACATTTCGGGTGCTATTACTTTGCTCGCGACTCTCTGAGAATCGTTCCTCCTGGCGCTGCAGTTGCTCCTGGCGCTGTATTTGCTCCTGTCGTTGAATCTGCTCCTGCCGCTGGAATTCTTCCTGGCGCTGCAATTGCTCTTGGCGAATCTGTTGCTCCTGTCGCTGCAATTGCTCTTGAATGCGCTGCTCCTGACGTCTCTGATCCTGCTCCCACTCGCGCTGATGTTGCTGTTGCTGCTGATGATATGGCTTCTCCTGGCTATCCAGCAAATAACGCGGCTCATCACCGTATTCCACAGTAGACGACGAGGACACTACCTTGGAGGAGGACGAGGTCGATGTGGAGCTCATCTTCATCTCGGTGCGACCGCTGGTCTCATCCCCAAAGACCACCGTCTCTTGGAGCTGAGTCTTCGAGCTATCCGAAGCCTCCTTCACAAAGTTCTTGTCATCGCCCTGGTGCGATGCACTCGAGCGCTGCTCGTTGCGACCTTTGAACTCAGCCAGGCCACCACCATTGAGCTTCTCCACGCCTGCGATCATGTCGGGGATGTTCGGAGGTCGTTGGGTGGGAGGTCGAATGGTGGACATGGACATAGACATAAAACAGAGTTGGGTTATACACAAAACTTCACCGACAAGGGACATTGGGGTCAGGTTAGTTCGACACTTGCTGCAAACTCAACTGACTAGCATTTCGTTCTAAGTTCTTTAAGAGTTTTTTCGAATAATTTAGTCAGTTATTGAGTTCCCAGCAAGTGCCATTTTTGGGGTCAGCTTTGATGCTAGCCAGACAAAAGGGGGCTATCACAAAGCAAAGAAATCCTTTTAGAATCAGGACTCACCATCTGTTTTGGCCAGAGTTTCGGTGCGATAGGCCCGTCCATCGGGACTGACCTCCGATGAGGTTTGGACATCCCAACCTGTGGTGTTCGGCTGGCTAAGAGTCATCGAGTGGAAACGCAGCTCATGGGTAGGACTGGTCGAATCGCGAACCTCCTTGGACTTAAGGCTCTGGAAGTTCTGGTCAAGCAGAGCATCACCATGGCTGGTGGCTAACGGATCCTTTCCTGCATAGCCGGCCAGCGTGTTCACGTTGCCATGTCCGTTTCCGTTGGGCTCCGACATTGGATCCGTTTCGTGCCTGTAGAGGTTGCAAAGTCGCGACTCTCGCAGCTTATAGAGATGCGATCGGATCTGCTTCTTTCGTTCGCTGTCCTCGGACTGCTGCCACTGAAAAGGATAAGAAAGGCAAGACAAGTCTTATTATTTTTCAGTGTAGTTATCTTATTTGCAGTCTCAATATTTTGTTTCGCTTTCAATGTAGATCACCCATTTTTGCTCTTAACTCAGTATCTCTAGATAGGCCCCGTCCTTGGGCCAATTAAGTCAAGTGAACTCATGCTCAAGTTTGAGTGCCTGCGAGTGGAGTGCAGGGAGCCCACGCTCATAGCTTCCAGCCGCTTGGATCGCCTTTTATGGCGCCCCCGGGCCACTAACAATTAGCCGGTCAGCCAACACAACAAATGCAGCCGCCATCGCCTGACTCAGCCATTTGCCTTTTAGACAGAATTCGAATCAAAAATGAGTCGGACTTCTAGCCGAGTAAATGATGATGATAAAGATGACGCCCCCAAATAAGTTCTCGGATTTCAATGGCAGAAGCAACTAGATGACCAAAAATGGGCTGGGATTAGCATAAGGGTAACAAATTGAATGATTCAGACGAACGAAATGATTGATGGAGATTGGTTGGTTTTTTAATAATGATAAACAATAAGCTATCCTTTTCCTACTACACCTAAGCTTATCGAAAATAAACAATAAATCGATGACAGACCTAAGACACGGCTGAAATCGGATTTCAGTTTACGGGAATTTGCTCTACTTACTACCTGTTTCGCTGGAAGTCTCGGGACTCGCGCATAGTTCACTTATCGGAACCGAATCGCGGAATCGAGGGCTGACGTTTCAGATTATAAATAAAACATGGAGCAATTCCTACTGACCGATAAGCGGATCGTATTGTCCGTAACAAAGATTCTAGCAGAACGATTCGTATATATGATCGTATTTATTTAAACAATAATCTAGAAAGGTGGCAGACTTTATAGAGTAAGAAAGCGACAGCAAGAGAGGGGTTCGGCGGTAAGGTAGCCATCACAATATCGTTAGCAAACAAATTGAGTGAAGTTGAAGCGGTGATATCACCTCAGCTCAGCAAACGACCAGTTTCGCTTTAGCGGAAAACATGTCAAATAACATTTGTATTAACAATAATGACACCTCGATCGCCATGTAGAGTGGGTGGAAGGGAAACGGGGAGGGTGGTGAGTTGGCTTTGCTAACTGTTTAATTTTAGCCAAACTAAGGCCATACGACTGACGCGAATGGGAAACTTCCCAAAACCAGATGGAACTCTATTTGTACGGAGGGGGAATATAGGAAATGAAATTATGAATAATTCGCACATTAATAGTTAAGATCGGGCATTAAATTTATGATAGATGAAACTGTATTAAACTGAAGGAGAAACTAGGAAGTGAAATGATGAATAATTTTTTTTTTATATTAAGTTTTGGGATTAGAATTGGTTAATATTTGCTGGTAATGAAGTAGTACATATCATATTAACAGCTTATAAAAAAAAGATCATAAAATCTGGGACATAACATGACCAGATGGTCATTATAGCAGGGGATTAATTTGAAGTTTGTTTTAATAAGATCAGCTGGAGATCATTTCTTTTTTTTTTTTGGGTTATTCATTCAACCTTTCAGCAACTCCCAGAGATTTATGGTTACTGCCATTTCCCTGGTTATTAGCGAAAATTTCATATTCGTGGCATCCGCAGTGATTGATAGCGAAGTTGGTGCTTTCTTTTCTGACAAAACGGAACGACAGATGGCGCTGCTATTACTTTCAGCGCTTTCACTCGCCCAAATCAACAGATTCGGATTGACAAAATAAAACAAAATCCGCAAAATCAAAAAGAGAAAAACATCTAAGCCTGGGTGCGTGCTTGTGCCTGCACAAAACTTTTTGCAACTTTGCTTTGTTGTTTCTTTTCGTTTTTGTTTGTTTGTTTGCTTGTGTGTAATTTTTTCAAGAACTGGTCGCGTGGTCGCAGTCTAGACCTGCGTCTTAAAACGCCTCTGCTTGCGCCGCTGCCACAGCCTCTGTCTCTCATTGTACACTGAACAAAATTTTCAAGTACAAAAACAAGCAATTCTCAAAAATCTGTAAAGATGTGAGGGTGAAGCTTTAAAATTATATAAATTTCCAAAATTTCTTAAGATTAATTTTACATTTAATCAGTTTTTCTCAGTGTACTCCCTCCCCTGCCTCTACCCGAATGACGTAATTTCTAAAAGTACCGGGCCGTGATAACCAGTTGAAGAAGAAGAAGAAGCTGATTCGCACCTCTGCAGCGACGCCGGCATCGGCAACCTGTTGGCGTCGACGTCGACGTTAACTGTGACTGCGACTGCGAACCTAATGATGGGATGGACCGTTCTTCCATCTCGCTCGTTTACCGCTATGTCTATCCCTATCTGATGACGTGACGTGCGAGATTTCGTTGATGTGCGAATGCTGATAAATTATTTTGAAGTTTTTTCGCTTTTTAGCTGTTTTTGTTTTTCATTTGTCGGGCTGTCGTGTCAGCAATGTTGACCTCCAACTTTTTGTTTCTTTCTTTTGTTTTGCGCCAAAAATCTTTTTGTTATTGAAATTAAACTTTATTAAAACTTAATTGAGAGGAAATCAAAAATGAGGGAGAGAAAGATGAGAAGGTCGAGGGGTCAGCTTAAGGCACTCCCACCTACCAACCAGTGCTCACTGTACAGATAAACCTTGGCTGCGATTAGCTCATGACTAAATGTTTCCTCATTTAATTGCACATCAATCGAGATAAGACAAGAAACTTTAAGAAAAACGGCAAAGATAGTAAGCGTTTAAAAATAATATGTACATATTTTAGTGAATATTTCCAACAAAGATAAGAGCTCAATATGTATAGTATTATTTATCAAGTTCGATGATAGTGTCAGAAATATGTATGAAGTGAAACGTGCTAAATAAAAATGCAGGTATTTTAAACCTTATCGGTTTGTTCGAAAGGTGAACGTGAATTATTAAGATCTTTAAAATTACCTACTAAGAACGACCTACTAAAGTTATTCTAGAAGGATTCCTTTGTACACTTAACCTACTTAATAACTTCTAAATATCTAAGGCACTCCAAATAGTTACATTTGAAGAACTTTTAACTATTTAAATTTAAGTTAAATTACACTTTTTCCAGGACCAGTGAACGTAAAGCTCCACAACAATCAGCTAAACAAAATTGCTTTGCACTTTGCTGCCGGCGTTAATTGCCGTCACTTGTTGTGTAAATTTCGTTTTGTATTTTTATTTTTTATGGCAATTTCGATTTCAATTTCGCTTCAATTTTTCGATTCCCCTTCAATCTGTACTGTGTGCATATGCATATTAAAGTGACCTAATTGCCACTGTCCGCCCAATTGCGAATCCGTGAATCGAGAGTAAATAGCATCTAGAGTGTAGAATCTAGAATTTTTTTGAATTGTGTCATTTTCAGCCGACGATGGCAGCGAATCAACGATGCCGAGCGGGGCAAAACATGTTTATGTTTGCTTTCGTGGTCTTATTTGTGTTTTTTTTTGTTGGCTTTTTGGTTTCGCTGTTAATTGTTTGCTTCTTATTTTGGGTATGACATCGGCCCAGGTGAATAAAACATGGCTCTATAAAAGCCCCAACCAAGTTCTAAAAGTGGAGCACTTTCGTGGGCCGTTGCTTGCATATAAAAACCAAAACTCCGGCCCCCCTCCCTCCAAAAGAAAAACTGGACCCACATTAGCCGGTCTTCACTGTTGGGTGGCATGGGAAAAGGTAAAAAAAAAAAAAATAACTCAATTTTCGGTTTTTGGGGTCTTTCGGCTTTTTGATCGATGGACAGCTGTCAAATGGCTAAGCGTGTGGGAAATTATAATGCAAGCTTGGATCCATAGGTGATATATAGCCGCCAATCGTCACCATATCGGTGTGGCAACAACAAAAAGCTAGTCGGTTTTGTATAAATCTTAAGCCCAAAATGATCTCATACACGAAAACGGAATGAAGGGGAGAATATCTTTATGCATAACGTACATCTATATATATATATATATATATATATATACTTATATTCCAGACAATTATCAGAGCCACAGTCATTAGTGCAGGTGGAGTTTTTTTTGTTTCGCAGCCGGAAAACCATTTGCACTGTTTTCTCAAATTATAGTTTGCTTAATTTGAAGTCAAGGTTGTGATTACCAGATAGATAAACTATCTTATGCCTGAAGATCATTTGATAGTTTGCCATTTTGGTTGTCAAAGAACCAGATTTTTTGGTTTCAGGCTAATGATAGGTTTTAGGATTGGGAATCCGAGATTAATAAATTATAATTATGATTTAGCTTTGGAGTTTACTTCATTTGAGGTTTTTGAAACAAAGGTAAACTCTGTTTATAGAAGATAAGGTAAGGAAGTTATGTTCCCTTAAGATATTTACTAAGAAAGCATAAGATTCTAGTATTAAGAGAAGTGAAATTGATTCGCAAACAAAACAAACTGATTCCCAGAACTAATAGTATCTCAATAACCGACAGTTTTTCGCACCAGATGGTGTTTTCCAATGCAGTCAGGCCAACCTGCCTTATAGAGAGTTTCGTCCGGTGATATGGCAAAAAAGTTTTTGCATATTGAGTACGTTGAAGATTTATCGGAACATCTATCTCCGACAATGAGAGCAATTACCATGGCTAATTACAGGCGAAACCCCTTCGCTCCCCGAAAATAAATCCCTTTCGGCTGTTGGCTGTGATCTGGTTTCGTGAGTGGAAAAGTGGAAAAGCGTAAGACCGTAGAACGGTTGCCAAGGCCGACGGCCCACGGCGGTGTAAACTTGTTTGCCGGTAATTAGATTCACTCCCGATTACCATATACATATATACATATGTATGTATATCTTTCTCTTCGCACAACTCTTTTTATATCATCAACACGCCCCCGCCCTTGTCAGCTGTTCTAGTTTGGATCTTCGATCAACTGGCAACGAAAAGCCACAAGCTAAGCACTAGCACTTCCCTGATAAGATCCGTTTGTTTGTTTACAAGCCACTTGGCGCAGTTACAGATACAGCTACAGATAGATAAATAGCTGTAGAACAGTAGTACAGGTAGCATTCGCTAATTGGAAGGCGTTGGGCGGTCTCTTTTGTAGCGATTTAAAAGACTATTAGGTGGTAATTTCAAAATTATACAAACTTTTCGGTGTATCTTTTGAGTATCTTCAGACTGTTTTTCTTTCTATCAAAGAATTTGAATAGTTAAGCCAATTGCAATGTCATTTTCCAATAATCTTGTCTAAAAATAACCCTACAAGGACCACAAAATGACACTTGACAACTTTCCCACGCAACAAGAAAGTGCACAATGGTTTTTAACCATCGCAATTACTGTCACTATCGATTCCGTTGTTAAATAATAAATTGCGTGGGTGTCTTGGGGCCAATTTGTTTACCTTAAAGTGGGTTACATATTGCCAGCGATTACTGTATAATACAGATGTACAGATATAGCAACAGTTACGAACTAACTGTTATGCAAAGACTGGGAAAAGGTTAAGCTAAAACAGTGTGCGAAAGTGTGAAAGTTATGCGAAGACAGTAGAAGACGAACAGAGACAGGGCTTAAGGGGGAGGCAGGTGAAAGAGACAAGCTTAACAGCCTGTTTGCAGCTTCTTTTACGTTTTATTCCCCATATTCTGGCTAAAATGACAGAAAAATTACCTCAGGTAAAAAAGAATTGGTATTGGAATTCTTTTTTTTTCTTTTCGAATTGGGAATTCTTCTCCTCGCTGATGTGTTGTTTTTTTTTTCGTTGAATTGTTGTTGCACCGGCAAAAAAGCACGTAAAAAACACTTGGTAGGAAAATGTGTGACTAATCCTGTGGGTTTTTTCTCTTCTTCTTTTTTTTTTTAATTAATTTCGTGCGTTTGTTAAATAAATAATAGAGTATACAAAAAAAAAATAAACGATCGTTGTTGACTGTTGTTGTTTTGGGTTGGTTGATGTTTTTCACGGAGTGTCGGCACGTTGCAATCGATCGAGCACCAAAATCAGACTGAAGTTTCCAATCAGAATCAAAGCCGCCTAAAGTGGCCGCTGCCGCTCAAACGTCGACGTCGACGCCGGCAGCGAGCCGAGATATGACCGAATACGAAAAAGCGACGAATACGAAGATGACGCGACCGCCCAGCCGCACAGTGGTGGAAATTCTATGGATAAGCAAGTAAAACTGTTACTAGGGAACCGAGAAAATAGACTATGAAAGTCTTAACACCTGTGCAGTAGAAGTATAAAAAAGTTTGTCAAGATTGGTGTGGCCACAGACCATCTTCAGAAGGTTATAACATTGGAAAATGTTTTTGGAGTATGAAATGTTATAACTCTACGATCGTAGATTGTTATGTAGATAGTTAAACTGCTAACTTTTGAAGTTAATGTGAAACCGATCAAGTTAAGGGTTCTTAAAGTGCTGTTTTGGGTAAACTTTCTGACAGACAAACAGAAAGACTTTATAATAGGTCTTTAGCAATATCTTTTGCACTGATAACAAATCAGTTGGACAAAGTGCAAGCCCTTTCTTTTCGTTATTAGCTAACATACATAGGTAATATTATCGGGACATTGCTCATCCGCTGTGAATGCATTGGGACGTGTTCGATTTCGGGGCTTTGTGAAAAGAACTCGTGTCCGTGCGGATCGGCAATAATAAATCATTCGATCACCGGCCGCAGGTGGGTGTCATTGTTGCAGTATGTTAATAAACACCTTAAAACCCAAACATACATTTTCTGTGCTTGGCTTTTTTTAACTTGAAACTATTTTCAGCGTTTTTGGAAAGCTCTCGAGCCGCTGGCGCCCACAATTCCCATTCAATCGTAACGATTTATATTCAAAAACGGGCCTCAAAGAAGAAAAAAAATTACTCATCGACGTTGGCGCAGACGTTGCGCAGACGCAGACGCAGACGTCGTGACTAGACGGCCGTTCTAGTTTACCCCACTGTCTAGTTTTTTATGGCCCACTGTTCACTGACCATTGGCCACTTGCTGCATTTGGCCATTTGCCATACGCGGGTGTTTTATTTATTTATATTTTTTTATATTTTTTTTTATATATTTTTCTGTTACTCCGTGTGTGCCAATTCAACTTTGGCTCACTGATTTATTCAGCAGTCGACGGCTGGGCGACCCACGCGATTTTTTCGACTCGAGCCTGAATCGAATCGAATTGACTCGAATCGAACTCGAAGTTGAATTGAATCGCCTCATGGCCAAGATACTCGGATCGTGTGGCCAGCCAACGCTGCTTTCTGGGGGTTTTGTTTTATTCTGAACCGAGATTTGATCTTCCAGGGATGGAAACTCTTTACAGGATACCAGGAATAACATTAGATTAAAATATATTTTTAGATTTTAAACGTATGTTTAGTGTAGTATATTGGCTTGGCTCATTAAATTCAAATAAATTTCATTTTGATAAGATAAGAAAGTTTCGTAAATTGCTTGGAACATGATAAGATTATATGACACATCAAAACTGCTATTGATTGCCATTTTCATTGACATTTCAGTAGGTGTCGTGAAATTTGTTATCATCGAAGACAGCACATTGTAATTTATTCAGCATTGTTTATGGTCATCTTAAATTAGTTTGGGCCTAAGTTTTTATGTTAAATTAAATGTTTTTTGATTAGACAAGAAACTGTTTGGCAGCTAATATAACATTTTAATATTAATTAAGATTGTTGTTGTACTAAAATGGTAAGCTAACTCTATGGTTACTATATATATTATATTGCAAGTTAGCCATCCCTGGCTAAGGAGGAACAGAGGATAGATAGCCAAGGCAAAAGAGAAAGGAAAAGAGTAGAATAAAGAGGTGAAGAAGGAGAAGGAGGAGGAGGAGGCCATCAGCGGTCAGCGGGCTCAGAGGCCAAAGCTGAAATTGATTCATGGCCAATGAGTCATCATCGCAGGCTTTTTATCAGCATCCGTCGCAGTCACTGCGCTGTTGCGGCACAGTTGCAGCGCAGCAACTGCACAGTCTCCCAATTTGTCTCTCTATATCTCTCTTTCACTCAGTCTACATCTTTCCCTTTCACTCTAACACCGGCTGCGTGGGCTACCGATCGTCTGCTGTTGCTTCTTCTTTTGTCTGGTTTGTCTTTGTATGATACCCTCTGTTAGGGTATGATATTATAGACCAAAAGTTAGGAACTTTATATAAGATCAGTTAATAGTATTTCGTAGAGAAATAATTATTAATCGAGAGTGTGAGATCATTGACCTTGGACAGGTTCTACTTTTCGAGTTTCTAAAAATAATCTAATTACTTGGTGTTATCTATCATCGAAGTTCAGGGGAAAGATCAGTGCCAATCCAAGGGTATATCAAAGAGCTGAACCATCTGTTTTTCCTCACTAATGCAGATAGATAGATCATTGGTTTGGCCAGTTCAGTTTGGTCCGATGCGACATCGTCATCGTCATCGTTTTTCCATTGACTTTTCTAACGACTTTTTAACGATTATTGCAAATGTCTGAGCCAAGTCAGCGACTAGCGGCCCACGCTGTCACAGTAAGCCACAGTGAGCAACCCCATAAATGACCCAATTTGGCCAGGTTGAACTGGGTTGGTTTTTGTGTTGTGTGTTTAGATGGGATTGGGGATTGGTGGGGACTGACTAACCGAATGAGTGAATCTCTAACCATGGATGGTCTGGATTGCTTCTGGCCAGTTCTCGAAAGTGTCGTCTGGGAGTAAAATAAAACAGGGCTTTAAAGGCAATATGCCATTGGCAATGAACTGAGAACGGGGACACAAGTCCGGCAAGGAGGCAATGAACTACCAGCAACAAGGCCTTATAAAATAGCATCTAAGGATTGGTGGGTTCTTAAAGCCTAACCTAAAGTTGTAAAAAGATAAATAAAATATATTTCAACTTACCATTTTCCTCAGCAATTCCTCATTTTGTATATCACCCAGATCGCATTCCACCTCCATGGCAAAGATGTCTGAAAAATGAGAAGAAACAAATATTATAGTACAGTAGCCTTAGGCTTAAGATTATTTTCTAGATATTCTTTTTCTGTTTCTGGCTGATGATGCAATTATTTCGCTGCACATTTCTCATGTTGATTTATTTGATGATTATAATTTGTCGCTGGTGCCTGGGGTGGCTCAGCAAGTTAACTGAGTAATATCAGTTGCCATCGATCATGATCAGTGTTATGGGCACTGTGAACGAGGCAAGCCAGAATCGCAATCGGTTAGAATCGCCCAGAATCGGGCAGAGTCACTCCGAAGCGGGATACCCACACCCCAACGAGTTGTGACATTTCCCCCGTAAATGGCCAACTTCAAACATGGCCAGCAACTGCATATACTGGTACATTAAATACGAAAAACAATTGCACAAATGACACAGCCAAGTGCATCGCCTTTACACGATGAAAAAAAACTGATGGTTAACCATCAAAATAATCGATTAGGATCTATTTTTTAAAGTTTTCTCTAATTTTTAATATCTATATCAGGGGTAAAAAGTTGGTAAACATCCTTTTCGCATTGATCTTTAATGCTAATTGGTAAATAAGATTCTTCTACTTGTTTTTTTCACTGTGCATTTGAGTTGCCAGCTTGATTAGCACGGCCGCAACATTTTGGCTTCGCTTTTGGTTAGCATCAACGGGCTGCTCGGTCAACTGGCAATCCCTCTAAGTAGAGGGGAGGGAAAGGCGGGGGTTGCACGGGGAAAAGCTCGGCCAAAAGCCAAACAAGTTCAAAACCACAATTGGGCAAACACTCGTTGGCCCCAGAGCCCCCCATTCAATCGAGCAATTGAACTTGAAAACTGAGCCAGCTTGAAAGAGAGCACCTTACGAATGTTTGTTGGTGGGTAGAGGAGCGGGGGACTTAGATGAGACTGTTGGAAAAGTCTGGTCAAGTTAGCAACCTCCTGCTCAAAAGTGCCAAATCTCATTAACCTGATTGCTATAGCAGGTTAAAGTAATGAGAATTTTCAGGGAACTTCATCTATTTATGTAATTTTTTAACCAAAACAACATTTTTCTTCCATATAAAGAACTTATTTATTAATTTCCATTAAATTTAAATGTTAAAAGGTGGATTAGCATTGTAACAATATCTAAATCCGACACAAATCAAAGCATTCAAACGTCAGACGAACATCCATTAAACGCATTTATTGGTCATCCATCAAAAAATAGGTCCAATAAAGATATGTCCGCCCGACTTTATATCATGATATGTATGGTCATACCTTATACAACAAATCGCGTGGGCTGGCGTGTGGCCAATGCCCAAAGAACGCCGATCGTTGATCGCATAAATTCATAAATTACCAAAATGGCAAAACGAAGCAGTCATATTTTGCTTTTGGCCAATTAAAAACCGTTTTATTATCGAAAATCACACGGATTTGGTGAGTCAAGATTTATTGCAAAGCAAAATACAAAATCACAGATGCAAATTCAAATGCCATTATGACACTGGGATTAAACAGATTTTGTTAGGAATTTATTCCAATGCTCCACTTTTTTTTTAGCCATAATAACCATTATAGTCCATTAAGACCCCGCTAGATGGCGCCTGCACTAGCAGGAAAACCACAAAAATCACCGCAAAACTGTTAGAATTCCTCCCCCAACATTGTAGTCAATCTTAGATCTCCCCCATGTACCCTATATCCCCTATATATCTTAACTATATCTGTACTACCTGTACAATGGTACTCACCTGTTGCTGCTGCTGATGCGGCTGCTGCTGCTGGTTTTTGAGCTTGTTATCAGAGAGACGAACGTCGACTTCGAGGCTTTTGTAACTTAAGACGCGACGCAAACGAGCAGAAAACGTATTTATTTTTGTGTACTTGGCAAATATTTAAACAGTAAATAGTTTAATTTACGGAAAGATCAAATTGCGGCTGCCTCTCCGGCGAAAAGTTATTAGCGACTTGCGCGCGGTAAAAAACGCGAACGCTACCCACTTTTTTCCCACTCTGCGATTGTTTGATTGATTTGCGGTTTCTATGTATGCTTGCTATTGCTGCTGTCACACGCGCCTAATAAATTCTATAAATTATGTTCACCTTAAAATAAAAAAAAAACAAAAGTTTCACACACACTAATATTTAGTGTCTTTAAGCAACAAAAAAAAAACACAGTCAAAAAATATATAAACACAGATTTTTCACAGGCAACAATGAGAAAAGTTCGAAATCGTAGGGTTTGTGCGGCAAGTAAATGTGGGGCGGTGGGCTGAGGGGCGTGGCTGATGCGGTTGGCACGAGCGGAGGCTCTTGACTGATTGCAAGCCGCTGTTGTTGCCGCATTTAGGCGCGGGCTCTCTCGGCTGCCCAAAACGCCGACGTCGACGCCACTGCCACTGCAACGCTCTTTACACTCGGGGAAAATGGGATAAAAATTTTGGAAAAAACAAATTATCATAACTAGGAAGTATATGTAATAAAAAATATATGTAAAAACATTCTTTTATACAAATCATTGCCTGCTTTCTGGCGCTCTGCTGGATTCAAGTTTTTAGAAAAAGAATTTTAAGATTGACTTAAGTTTAAAATAGACTTCACCCTCTCAACAAAATCACTTTAATATTTCTTCATTTCGAAAATATCAAAAGACTTTAATATATATATATATTTTTCCCGAGTGTATATCTCTCTGCCTCAGCTGATCCTGAGAGATAAGGAAAGTGAGAGCCAGTAAGAGAGCGTGGCAGAACCTGATAATCCCTGCTCATTTGCATGACTAATGACCACTGGGTGTGCAAGTGGAAGGGGTATAGTGGAAAGACAGGAACAAGAATACAAAAAAAAAATCTTATAAAAAAAGAACATAAACAGGAACAAAAGTCAATGTCTGCCAAACCCTTTGCATATTTTTCTTATGAGACTTAAGCTAAGGCAAACCAATACAAATGTTGAGTGCCAATTGGAATTTGTAGGATTTTAAAGTTTTTTTTCAAAGGAAATAAAGACTAGAATAGCAAACTTTGAATTTGAAATAATTGCAGTTATTATAATCAAATTAAAGCAATTTTTGGCAAAAATTACTTTTCAGTTTCCACACATTTTTCATAATAAGCTTTAGATAAAAATGTTTTTAATTCAGACAGATACAGATATAGAACTGGAGATAGAGGGCCAGATCGGATGGCCTTATCGCCATTGTGTTTATCACAAAAAATGAAAATGGCCTGGACGAGGCTGAGGCCAAAAAAATACGCGTATGCCACAGGGTCAGTGGAGCAGGCTTTTGTTATTTTGGCCAAAACTACCTTATTAGCGATCTCATCATCAACACGCACTTGTCACCTCTCTCACTCTGTCTCCTGTCTCCTATATATGTTATTTACTATATATTATATATATGTATAAGTACATATGTATATAAATCGTTAACTTTTTGTCGGGGTGCGTGTGTTGAATGTCAACGATCAGCGATCATTGTCAGTCGCATAAAATAGCATAAAAATTGCATGAAATGCTGTAAATTCTAGGAAAACATTTGCTTATGCAACTGGGACAAGGAAAACAGCCGCATCAGCAGGAGCAACAACAGCAACAGCTACCAAGAGCAACCGCAGCATCAGCAACATGTGCTCTTATTGTTCATAATATTACAGCACTTCTTTGTCATAAGATGGGCTAATGGCAATCGAAAGATTCCAAAAAAATTTTATTTATTTCCACAATTTCCAGATGCCACAAAACTCTTTCTCATGTTGGCTTTAAGGAAACATAGCTAATGCCAAACTAACGGCGTGCCACAGCAGCAGCTGCTAGTTTTGCTTAGTGAAGAAGATGAGAAAAATGACCGCCCTTGGAGGAGCAGTGAAAGCCAATATTAAAGCCACGTTTTTATTGGCCACTTTTGGACACTGTCCTTGCGCCTGTCTGACGTCAGCACGTAGGCAGTTGAAGAGGCGACACAGCGACACAACACACGTCTGCAACATGTTGCCGCTGCCGCCGTAAATGGCCAGGAGCAACTTTACTTTAACATCACCAACATCACGCACTGCTGTGCACAATGACAAAAAATGCATCTGATTTTTGTGTCTTTTATATTAATTTATTTTAAGTGATTCACGGCAGCAATCTGAAATCGAAAACTGCTAAACGGCAAACGAAAACGAAAACGAACCTTGGAAGTCCCAAAAATGCCAACTGATTGATTTGAATTGCATTGCAGAGATATAGCACCCAATTGGAAATTCCAATAAAACTATGTTTGTGATTAAAAAACACTTATTTGAACATGAATGAAGTTACTTTATTTGAACTATGTATAAATGTACGGTTTATATGTTATATGCATATAAGATTAATGGTGTGGAATTTGTTTGTGGAATATTCGCAATGAACACTAAGAACTAATCAGTGCTAAATACAACTTAGTAAAAATCATATCATATCAAATATGGTGATGCGGACAAAAGCCGCTAGCTGTCCGTACAATCTCTCTATATACTATATGCTATATATATATATATATATATATATATATATGCTATATATCGGCGATGTATACGATAGCTGTTCGATGTTCGATGATATCAATATGAAAGCAACAATTCATCAAATGTGTGCAAAAGATTCAATTAAAAAAAATAATTATTTTATGTGGTATGCGGTATGCGGTATGATAAATGTATATAATATATATATATATAATGGAATATCTGTCTGATTTACAACTATATATGCTCCCTATATGCGTAGCAGGCTCTGGTCAATAATGAATAATTCAAATTAAAATCACATCAAATTCGCTGAATGGAAGAGATTAAATGGCCAAGACGAGTGAGACAAGTCTATCGAATCTGCCCATACCCAGTCCTCCTCTCTCTGTAAATACGATTAACCCTATAGCATTTTACGATCTAAAGGTTTTTAAAGAACTGATCAGAGACAAATACGAAACCGAGAGAGATGGAGAGTTGGGCAATGGTGGTTATATGCTATCTATATCAACAATAATACATATCCTAAAAAAAACGGGAGCTCTACGATTTTGGCACAGCTTACACTCGAATGTTTGAGGGATGGCGTGGCGTGGCTTGATTGGAATCAGAAATCAGGAATCAGGATAATGCCTAATACTAGTAGGTGTCTTGGGTCAAGATTCTCTTGGAAACTATGTCTAAAACTAACTAACTAACTAACTAACTAGCTGATACATATGATGTACGTTAACTTATTGGTTAAAAGTGCGTACAAATACGAATTGGAAGAGCGGAAAGGAAGCTACAATTGCAATTGTGGTTGGCTGTTGTTTTAGGGTTCGAGCAGCTCGAACGCTATTACAATATATCTATAAAAAAAATATATCATAGTAAACGAGGATTGCACACACACTGAGATTATGTAGGAAGTAACTTATTAACGAATGGAAGAGAATGATCGAGTCGGGGGGCTTCGGTGGGTGGGTGATTGGTTCTTCTGGGTTAAGGCACTCTCTTAATCTGTCACGCCCAGGTGCACCAGCTGCTGCATGGTTCGCTGCAGATAGGTGGGATCCGGAAACATATTGAACTGTGTCTTGTGGTCCACACTGTTCCAAATAACCACATCCTCGCGCCCGGTGGTTACCGATCGTCCGATCGAGAACAACAATCGTCGGTCGAAGGCGATCTTGAGGAAGCGCAGCACCTTTCGTCCCAACGGACAATCCGGCAGGTAGCAGATACGTGGAAAACCAACAGCGAAGAAGGCACGACCCGGGTGCGGATGCTCCTCCGTCTGCAGGCCCGATGCAATGCTGTAGTGTACAAAAATTAATTTTAAATTACTGGTTAAAATTTCCTACTCGGTTCACACTTACTCGTAGACAATCTGTATGGTGTTCTGACCCTCGTGTCCTGGCAGATTCTTACTGATAATGCTCCAAGACATGCTGCCTATGGGTTGATTACCCACCTTCTCACCGTAAACGATTCCGCAAACAGGGCATTCGATGAAGAGGTTCTGCAAGACAATGTTACGTGATTAATAATGTTGCTTTCTCTTTCTGATTGATGGAATCAGTCTTTCTTACCTTGTTCATTTCGTTCTGCTGGGCAATTATCATCCCATTGAGACACTGCAAGTGCATCAGGTGCTGGCAACGACTCAGCGAGATGGCCGGATTCTGGGCGGAGTGCACCAACTCCTCCATGCACATGGGACAGGGCTGGGCATTAGGCCATAGTGGTGGCTCCACCACCTTAACAAATCGCGATATCATATCGCTGGCCGGGTCCACGCCCACAATCGAACCGGCGATTGATTGCTGTTGCTGCGCTTGCTGCTGCTGTTGCATCTGCAGTTGTTGCTGTTGTTGTTGCTGCTGCTGTTGCTGCCTCGGATGCAATGGTAATGGCGGCGGCACCGGCGCCCTCTCACCCAGCGACGATGGCGGCAGCGAGGGTACAAAAACCTCATCGCTCCCAAGAGAACAGTCCAGCAAATCATTGACCGAAATGGCGAAATTCCTGCTACGCAGACTTTCCTTGCTCTCGTGACTGAGGTAAGTGGACACGGTGTCGACGCTGGGTCTCCTTTGATGCGATTTCACGCTGTTCGTATCCGTATCCGATGCCCGCGTCCTCGATCTCGAGCGATGCGAACCCATCCGGCTGCTCCGTTGCGATTGCAGAGATCCCTCCGAGCACCGACTATGATGACTGTTCATCGAGGCAGTCAGCATATTCTTGGCATGCGAGAAATGGGCATGCGACAGATGATTGCCATGGTGCAGAGAAGCCGACGAGGAGGACGAACTGGCACTGGCCGCAGTGGCCATGTTCGTGTGCTTGGTGCTGCTGCTAAAGATGTTCAGGTTGTTGAGTATCTGGCGTAGATTTGTGGTCGAGATTTCGCTGTGCTTTTTTGGCGGTTTCCTGGGCGCCGTCTGATGATGGATCTGATGATGCTGAATCTGATGTTGCTGTTGGTGATGGTGTTGTTGCTGGTGGTGTGGTTGCTGGTGCTGCTGTTGTTGCTGCTGAACTTGATGGCTGGTCGGCAATGGATGCTGCTGCCTGGTCATGGGCACTCTATGCAGACTCTTTGTGTCCCCCAGTTTGGGCAGGGTCTTGTACTGACTGCTCCCGCTGGCGGAATTCGACTTCAACTGATTGGCCTGCTGCGGCGTTAGCTTCACCAGGGGATACGGCGCCTGCTGAGTCCGCCGGATGCTACGCATGGGTCCGCTGGGCTGGCGCAACTGGGTGAGATTGCAAAAGTTGATCGTATAGGGCAGGCCGATGTGGGTGTTACACAGGTCCAAGGTTTGTTCGCCCTGTGGAAAATGAAATTGTCATTAAAAATATTCGTATTATGACTACAACTTGGAGAAATCTAAGACGATTTTATTGCGGATACATTTTGTATCCATTATAATATGTATTCACATTTAAACAAAAATTTGAAAATTTCGAAAAATTTTAATGGATTCACTTTTCAGACTTTGGTACATCTGAAGTGTATCTAACTAGTGACTATTTCTATAGGAAATAAAAGTTTTTCAGTACATTTTCATTACTTAAAATTCTTCACTTTAAATTCCAATAAGACTGCCCGACTAGACTTCAAAACTTACCCTAGCCCAGGCGTCCTCGATGATGCACTGGACGTGCATGTTGTACGGCCGCCAGTCGTTGTTGCTATCGGCACTGCCACCCGACCACTCCCACTTGGTGCCCTTGCCCGCCGGCGAGCTGGGGGCGTAGAACATCCGCCGAACGCCGATGGTCAACAGACCGGAACCCGCCGACTCCGTCTCCAATTCCTGGGTCATGGTGCGGACGTTGACGAAGTACTGCTCTAAGCTGGGATCTGCATCGCTCAACATGACGCGGGTCAGTTTCTTGGCATGGGCACGTTCCAAATGCTGTGAAACCGCAGGGGAATAGGGCAACCACTTGCCGCCTCGGGACTCGTACTCCCAAACGCAGACGGCGTGGGCGTGGTTGACGGGCGGACCACTAGATCCGCCGGATGATAAGGCCATGGTGCCACAACTGGGAACTGCGGATCCTCCAACGGGAACGATTGCTCCGGATCCAGCACTTCCGGCGCTGCTGGCCATCGCTGGTATTTATTCGTTATCCCTGGAGTGAACCCATTTCCATTTCCAACTCCTCCTGCTGTCTTTCTATCGTTCCGTCTCTCTCGCTCGCGAAGATGGGCACAAAATAAACAAAGAAATTAAAAATGGTGGCCTGCTGCCTGCGTTTGTTAGCCCTGATTTTCCTGGGCTTTCATTTTCACGGAGTTTTCCTTCTGCTTATCTAGTCACACGGATTAACTTTAATATGGCTTAAGAACTTGCGATTAACGGTAGAAACGGCTTTTTAAACACTTAGCGCAAGCGCAGGCGAGAAATTATTTTTTTTTTATACAGCGATTTGGAGAGAGACAACAGCGGAAACTATCTAAAAATGACCAGGTGAAAATACTGCATAAAAATACAGCCACCAGTTGAATGTGGTATTTAAAAGGCTGGATTGGCTAAATTCCAGCTAGAGCTAGCTATTTTTCTAGCCATAGCTAGTAATTCATTAATTAGTACATTGTTACAAGTGTCATATCTAGAAAATAAATTTGTTGGTGTGTGATATAACAAGTATTAATTACAATTTAAGGACAACAAAATATAGTGCACCAAGTCATCAGTTAAATGTGAATAATATTCCCGAGCTAGAATGGAAGTGAAATGAAGTATGATGTATGAAACTCAGCTAGCCGTTAGCTAAGCCACAAACCGCGCAGTGTCTCGGATAAAACGGGTTTGCTTGTATTTTTTAAGCCCTTATCGCCAATGCCACATGTTCACACTAATTTAATCGATTGCAAACACTGAAAGAGCCATTTCCTTTCTTTTTCGTTCCACGTTTCCGGTGAGTGCATGTGCCTAGCGAGCTGCTCTTGAATTTTGTGATTAATTTAATTCTATTTAACTTACTTACAGCGAGTATTTCGATACGTTCGTGGTCGTGTTAGTCCCAGGTAAATATCAGAATCCCAGGAGTCTACGGAGAGATACGTGGCCCGCGTAAAACTGTGCAAAACCAATTTTTTTTAAATATTTTTTTTTATGTGGGCCAAAGAGCCAGAATAAGATGTGCTACAAAGAACAAAGTGTAAACAACTCATATAATGGGTTTAAATATACCCAAAACCTTTTTTCTTATTGTGTAAAACCTACAATATTCAAAAATTGTCAAAAAAAATGTGCGTTCCGGCATGTTTTGTGCATGTGTGTTTGTGTGTGTGTGTAGGAGCTGTGGAAAAGTGTTGATTAACTGGAAAACCTAAAAACGATTTAAATCAAAGTAAATCTAATTAAAATATTTAAAACAGTAAAGTTTTTCTTGGAAAACCAGTTAAAATAATAGTTGTTTACTCCTGTTATTCACACACACACACCCACACACTAAGATGTTTTTTTTTTAACTTATTTTTTTTGCACGTGTTTTGCTGGCCGCTTAAACTTTCCGTGTTTCCTGTTAACTATGAAGTTAAAAACTAATTATTTGGTTGTTTCTCTTCTAGCTAATTAAGCATCTGCTTATTTCGGTAAAACCTTTAAAACAACTGCTTGAAAATGGTTGTTAAGAAGGTAAGTTATGGCTACACCGTCTAATAAATGTAGACATTAATTAAAATTTGTGTTTTAAATACAGCCCAGGCCAAAGAAGAAGCCAGTGACCAAGAAGGTTGCTCCAGCTCCTCTGGCTGTTAAGAAGCCCGTGGTGAAGAAGGTCGTTAACCAGCTGTTCGAGAAGCGTACCAAGAACTTCGGAATCGGTAAGTCAAATCAAATTGGAATAATATTTGAATTCCCATAAGAAAATCTTGGTGGAAAACTATTAAACCAGCCTGTACTCATCTAATTCCTCTTACTTTGCAGGCCAGAATGTGCAGCCCAAGCGCGATCTGTCCCGTTTCGTTAGGTGGCCCAAATACATCCGGGTCCAGCGCCAAAAGGCTGTGCTCCAGAAGCGCCTTAAGGTCCCACCACCAATCCACCAGTTCAGCCAGACTCTGGACAAGACCACCGCAGTGAAGCTATTCAAGCTGCTGGAGAAGTACCGTCCCGAGTCCCCTCTGGCCAAGAAGCAGCGTTTGAAGAAGATCGCTGAGGCTAAGGCCAAGGGCAAGGATGTTGAGCCCAAGAAGAAGCCCAGCTACGTGGCCGCTGGTACCAACACTGTCACCAAGCTCATCGAGCAGAAGAAGGCCCAACTGGTGGTCATTGCCCACGATGTTGATCCTTTGGAGGTAAGTTTCTGAAAGCTAGTACTCCTGTCATATTCTCTGCTCTGAAGCAGGAAATATGTATGCTTTAATTCTCGTTGCCATGATGTAAAACTGAATTTCTTCAACCGAAGGCATCCCGTTCTCTTTTGAGCGGGAAGCTGCCATGTAGAGATTTGACGCCTGATACTTTAATTCCTTGATTAATTTTGATAAGTACAACATTAAACTTTATTACTAACTCTAAAAAGCCGTGAAGAAACATGGTTTAAAGATAATTATTTAAACCATGTTTCTTCACGGCTGCCAATTCAGAACGTAATCAACCATGCTTGTTTCATGGTGCAGTCTTATACTTCGAGCTAACTTTGAAATGATTTAGAGAATCTAGAGATTGTAAATACTCATAAATAACACTAAAGCCAAAGGAATTAAGGGCAACTTGACATAAACAGAGACTTTCCCACCCGACCACGTGGTTGTTTAAGACACCGATTAATGCGTACACTTTCCCTTTTTCTAGCTGGTGCTGTTCCTGCCCGCCCTCTGCCGCAAGATGGGTGTGCCCTACTGCATTGTGAAGGGCAAGGCACGTCTGGGTCGCCTGGTGCGTCGCAAGACCTGCACTACCCTCGCCCTGACCACCGTCGACAACAACGACAAGGCTAACTTCGGCAAGGTCCTTGAGGCTGTGAAGACTAACTTCAACGAGCGCCACGAGGAGATCCGTCGCCACTGGGGCGGTGGTATCCTTGGCTCCAAGAGTCTGGCCCGCATCTCCAAGCTGGAGCGCGCCAAGGCCCGTGAGCTGGCCCAGAAGCAGGGTTGATTCAATCTGAAGCCGATCCGATGGTGGAGACTTTAAGTACACATGGATGAAATAGCTTGGACAATGTGTGTCCACTGAGTTTGATAACAAATAAACATTTAAGTGTACAATTTTTTTTTGTTTTTTTTTTATCTAAGTGTCTGTGAGAGTGCTTGGACAAGCCGATTTCGAATCGGCGTTCAATAAATCTAAGTTGAATCTGCATGTCGCACTTTGTTTTCCACCGAGAACTATACAATATGGACTTGGAATGGGTGGGTTACCCAAATTACTGCCTATGGAGTGGATTCCCAGCTTTCGCTATTTACTAATCAAACTTTGGATTTTGTTTTTTGGAAGTTTCTAACTTCCGGTTGTTTATTACTCTTTCTCAATGTGGCAATTAAATATGTTATTGCTTCAACCATGTTTTCTTCTTAAGAATTCTTGGGTTTTGTTTGTTTATCATTATATCATCTTTACAATTAATATAAATATATTCCTATATAGAAAATCATTTAACTAAAATTTTAAAGCATTTATCGAAGAATCGTGTGAATTGAGTTTGATCTGATCTGGCAACACTGTTACCTAATATCGTTAGTCGTCGATATTTATTTATGTTTTCGCTTAAGAACATTAAAAGCTAATGAAATCCTCAAGGTGTCATCATATAATTGACATTTTTGTCTTGAGTTCCAATATTACCTTTAAAAAAATATATTGTAGAATAAGCAAATTTATCGACCTCGGTAAATTCACAAGAGCACCCCATCGGTCTGGCAACACTACAATCGTTAATCGGCGATGAATTCGAATGTTTATTTTTATATTTTATTTAAAAACCCATAAAAAATAGTGTATACAGCTAAGTGTCATTATATTTTGGAACGTTCCGTCTTGATCCCCAACTTGCTGCTCTGTACGGCCTCGTTGAGGATGCTGAGCACCATATCCACGCGCTCGATGGTGGCATTTTCCCCCATCAAACCGATCCGAAAAACATGCTCCGCAGTGGGTCCCAATCCACCGCTGATCTCCACGCTGTACCTGTAATTAAATAGTAATATTAATAATAATTTGGCAAGGATTCGATTGGAATACTCACTTGCGCATGGCGTATTCAGCAACTTTTTTCCAGTCCACTCCGAAGGGCACCTTAATTGTGTTCACCGTGGGCAATCGCTCATCCTCCCTATGGACAAACATCTCCAGACCAAGCTCTTCGATTCCCAACTGAAGTCGCTTGGAGCACTCCTGGTGACGTCGAACTACCGCCTTCAGTCCCAAGGCACAAAAGTGGGCCAGTGCCTCTCGCAATCCGTAGAGCAAGGTGGAGGATATGGTGTGATGATAGATCCTAGGGGTGCCATAACAGCCCCAGTACTGACCGATCAGCAGGATATCAAAGTAATAAACCTTCGGCTTGGTCTTGCGCTTCCGGATGCGAGTTAGTGCCCGCTTACTGAACGAAATGGGTGTGATTCCGGCAGGGCCACCGAGGGCTTTCTGCGATCCCGTATATGCCACATCCACCTTCCACTCGTCCATAAGGAATTCAGTGCCACCCAAAGAAGCTACTGTGTCCACGACCAGGAAACAATCGTATTTCCGGCACAACTCTCCCAACTCACGGATATTCTGCTGGATAATACCTGTCGAAGAGTCACCCTGGGCTATGAAGAACACCCGAGGTCTATGTGCCTCGAAGGCGAATGTGATCTCCTCGAGAGTAAGAGCTCTTCCGAAGCTCGCCTCCACATAATGAACTTCGGCACCATAACGACGGGCCATATCACCAGCACGATGACCCCAAACACCCGTAATGCCCATGAGGACCACATCCCCATCCTCGATCAGATTGCACAGAGAGGCCTCCATTCCCGAGTGACCAGCACCGCTGATGCACATAGTGGCATCGTTAAGGGTCTGGAAGATGTACTTGATGCCTTCCTTTACTTCATCCATAATCTGGGAACCGAAAGATATATAAAATTTCAAATATGTACATATCTAAGGCAGTTTTCTCTTTCTTTCCTAATGTAAGATCTATATGCCTATAAGTAAGGTACTATATAGGATGGGAGATGGGTTGATCGATTGGTAGCCCATAAATCTCTGACCCATCTCAGTAATAGTATCTCAATGCTTTACTTAGTCCCGATAAGGTAAATAGAACACTCTCAGTACAGTGAAGAACATTAGTAGCAGGTTGAAGTTAAAGTTGGAATATTATTCTAATTTAACAGATAAAATCGATATCAGTGATTTTGAATCCAAGAACATATACATATAATATATTATATTAAATGGATTTTTGTTTGAAAGTATAATAATTATTAATAAGAAATGATATGAAAGATAATGTAAAATAATATCTATCCTACTTAGATCTTTTGTATTATCTAGTTTTCCTGCGAGAAACTGTTTTCTGATATTAGCATTACCCACCTGTAGGCATTCGGGATGCATGTGACCCAGCACCGGATTACTCATGGCCTCCAGGACGCGATGGGAACAGTTTGAGGGTCCTGGACCCATCAGCGTCTTACTGGGCACATATAGCGGTCGCTTGAGGACAAGTGGTGGTGGTACTTCCATATTCCTGATGTTTACTCTTTGTTTTCTATTTACGTAATCAGATCTCTGTGTTTATGGCTGCTCTTATCGCCTAATCCGCTGAAACAGGTGGACTTCGTCTGGCAGGGGGTTACTATATATGTTTGCTGCGAGTATTTAATGGTATTATGTGGCGGTGATTCTCACTGGCTGGCCAAGATCTGACTAAAACGCTTGCCGGGCTGCTGGCTACTCTTATAGCTCTCCAAGTCGCGGCTTATCGCCGGAATATTGCCGATGAACGCACTTGAACAAGCGGTAAATGATGCGCTCTTCTGCTTATCAAGCATCATGATCGGGAGCAACTGCGTCGTTGGCAGCACAGAACGAAATCTTCTATTTAGTAGATTTTATAAATATTTTTAAAATTTAGACCAAAAAATCTTACTTTTGCATGGGATTTAATTCCAAGACATTAACTTAGGAAAATATTTTTATTAATCTAACCCATTCCGTTTCTTTTCAGTGTACTCCTGGTGATTCTTTGGAAGGCCTTCGGAAGGTTGGCGGGCCATACTCATTGTGAAATAAAAATTCAGCAGGACAAACCTTGAAAGTGGGTGCGTATACGTTATATAGTAAATTTTATTTTTATGCTGGAAGAATCTGCAGAGAGCAGAGAGCAGAGATCGAGAGCTAAGGTGTTAAATGCTCTCAAACTGGGCTCAATGATAATAGGTTGACAGCTAATCTTGATAAGAAGCCTCCCGCTGATTTCCCCACTACGGATGTTAAGTGGAATTGAAATTTTAGTGATCAGGAGGTCACCGCCAATAATATGTGGAATATTCTGTCCAAAAGAATTTATTACCTTTTAATTTGTGGTGAAATTAAGCTACTAAAATACAAGCAAAGCTAAAGTTGTCTTAAAGAAAGTGATAATAAGTGTAATTAGCAGCTCATGACTTTGAAATGATATATAAATTATGATGATAAGTTATTAATTTAGGAATTAAATGAATTATTAGATAGAAGTAAGCATTGTTTATGTTATAACAAGCTAAAAGTAAAAAACCTTTTCTATTAAATGTTAAAAATTGGGAGATCTAAAAAGAAACTATTTAATTTACTTTTTTACGTGCATTTATCGCTCTTTGATTACCTTAAGATTATAAGATAAATATACATACATGTTATTGTTAGGTTAGAAAATATAAGTTTTTAGTTAATATTTAGAAACCGTTAAATTAAATAATATTTTATTTAAACTACCTCTTTACTGAAATTAAGCTTTTATTTGATTATTGCCGGTATTTCTCGTTTTTAAGTTTGGTCACACTTGCTTTTGTGTCAAAACAAACTTTAATGTAATGTCTTTGTAAATTTTTGATACGACTTTAAGCGTAAAAATACAATTAAGTCAGGATAAATTCAATTATAAATAGTTGCGAAAATAAGCAGGATGGAAAACGGAAGCGACCAGTCCTATGAGGACTTTTTTGACAATTTACACAGGTTAGTAAAGGCTGAAATAATCATTTACTAGATAAGTTATATATGTATACATATAACTAACTAAATATATAACTTCAGTGATTCGGGACCCCGAAACTTGCGTCAGATTTTTGAGGATGACGACCGGCCTTTGGAGCACGAATCATCCAGTTTACGTTATCAACCGGGTAGCTCCAAGAAATCACAGAGTAGCAAGAAGCCGGTAAAAAGCCATAGTAGTACTTTAAGCGTGGCAGATCCTTTTGCTCCCACATGGAATACGGTGGTGGCCAAGGTGGTACATTGTTATTTAAGCACCGAAAGCATGGGTCGTGTGGGACTGGCTTTATCGGTGTACGGTGAGAAGGAGGACTTCAAATTGATTGTCTACAAAAGCAAGACCAAGGTCTTGACCACCCTGCAATTGAGTCCTCGTGGCTGTAGGCTGATCCAGCGGGATTCCTACCTTCAGTTCTATGACGATGATAAACGTTTCTGGAGCTTGCGATTCGACAAGGAATCCGACGAAGACGAATTTGTTGCAGTTTTGGCGAAGAATCAACTACAAGTTGAGCGTTTTGTGGGCCATGCGCCATTACTATCTTCGGGGAGATCCCTGAGCCCCAGCTCTAAGGAAGACACGGCCAGTCCTCCACAGCCGCAACCGCGTTCACGTTTGGGGATTCCAAGTCTAGAAAAGCTAGATGCTGAGGAACCCGAAAAGGAACAAACTATTCATAACGAAGATGTGATAGTCACACCACTGCCGCTACCCATAGGCTCATCATACAATCAAAAGAAACCGAATTCCAAATTCCTGGCCACCTCTGAAAAAACTAGTGATAATTCCCTGGCTGTGAAAACATTGGACAAATACATGGACGAACAGCGGGCCTCGGGAATGCTGATGGAGAACAAAATGGACGCCATTCTGCAGGCCTTGAAACTCATGGGAAAGCCAGGAGTTGCCGTTGATGCACCCAATGAATCGGTTATTGAACACGTCGATGAGGATGAGATGCTGGAACTAGAGCAGAAGTTGCTTAACTTCAAGCGAGAAAATCGTGCCTTGATGAGGAACCTTAAAGCGCGTGATCAGGCATTAGAGGATCTACGTTGCTCTGCTTGCGCTCTTTGCGAGGAACTGATGCGCAGGAATGACGATCTCAATGAGCAGAATGCCCATTTGTTGGCAATTAAAGATCATTCCGATTTAAGTTCAGCTTCCTCATGTCACAATTGCGTGCAGTCTTCCAAGCAAATAGCTAAAATGCAGCAGCACATTTTGGCCCTGCAGGAAGCCCTGCGAATCTTTCAGAAATCAGGGGATCCCAAGTCGGGTCGTTTATAGTTGCTATCAATGTTTATATGCTTTGTATTATTATTACCCAAGAATGTATTAAGTTGTTTGTTAATACTCGTAACATATCCATAAATACATGCCAGACACTACCAGCTATTCCTAAAATGCTAAAATTCTTCAATAAAAACTAAGGCAACATAACCGAAGTGAGTAATAGAGATAGTTTGCTAATCGTACAAGTCAAGTTTCTGTTTTATTAGAACTTTTACTAAATGAGCCACACATAAGGTATTGCCAAGGCAAGAACCATGATGAGTACCAATTTTATCCATTATAAAAATTCCAAAACGAACGACTTCCTCGTGTACAAACTAATTTGTTGTATTTGCAGCAGATTATGCTGAAACTTAAGGGCTAGGACAAGTCTAGGGTTTACTGTTTGCTTTTCATAATTTGGGGAAGAGTTTATCGGGAAGTTTTTGGGCCTGGAACTAGAGGCAGTCTCTGTGGAAGATAAAGGAAGGACAGGCAGTTTGGTCCTCCTCTTTTACGGCTAAACGGAAATCGAACTAGTTTACGGAGCGAGTGCTTTGGGAGGCAGCTGTGTATCCTGATAATGATCCAGACTCTTACATTGATTCTGATCCTTCAGTAGGTGCTGCTGTCGCTGAGGCTGCTCAGGTAGCTGCTGCCGGCGGTTGGAGCACCGGATCCCCCGGCGCGATGTCGCTTTCGCTTGACCTTGGTCTTCTTGCGGCGCATCATAGCCGTATCCGTGGACTTGCGCTTGTACTTGCCCTGACGCTTCTTCTTTCGTCCGTACTCATCTGATTCGCTGGTGCTGGACTCCTCATTGTCGCTGGAATCAGATTCAGATTCCGAGGAATCGCTAGAGGAGTCATCACTGGAGGACTCCGATGAGGATGATGAGCTGCTGGATGAGGAAGATTCCGAGCTGGAGGTCGAGGAGGAGCGGCGTCTCTTCGACTTTTTGCTGGTACTGCCGCTGCTGGGCCTTTTGCCCGTTTTGGTTTTGGTTTTGGCCAACTCGCTGCCGCTGCTGTTAGACTTTTTGTGCTTCCGGCTCTTTTTCTTGCGCTTCTTGTGGCGCAAGGACTTTTTGTCCTTGTCTTTGCTAGCCAACTTGTGGCTCCTTTTGGATGTGCTCTTTTTCTTGTCCTTGTCTCTCTTCTTCTCCTTGAGCTTGTCCCGGCTTTTGTCATTGCTTCTATCCTTGGACACCACTGGTGGCGGGACTTCAGCGCCACCTTTCAGCTCCTGAGCCCTCAGTTCAGTGAGCGGCGTGAGGTAGTCCAGCTCCGAGTCCGAACTGGTGCTCTCGACATCCAGTAGGATCTCTTTGTTAGGGTCCACCTAGCAAATAGGGTTATTAGCATTGTAAAATATATGAAACATGCGGTTTTTGTGTTCGCATACCTTGAGAAAATTGCGGCATTGGTAGGTCAGGTGACCGGCGTAGCCGCACTTCTTGCAGGCGGCCCTCAAGGTGTCCTTGTTGGCACTCGCCAGCGGGAAATTCATGGCCGCGGTTCCCGGCAATCCTTCCTGGATAATCCACAGCTTATTCCACCTAGCGCAGCATTAATTAATTTATCCACAACAACAAAAAAACCGAGTTGAAGTAAATCGCGATTTCAGTGCGACCGTGCGCGCCTTTTTTAAACTTACCACGCGGCAGTATAGCAGAGTTATCCACCACACTTAGCCGGTTACATCACCAGAACTGGTTCCGACAAATCCTTGCAAAAGCCTCCAAACGGTGTGGGAACACTGTTTTTTACGGTAAATAAGTTCTGTCTGGTCCGTCTCGAACTCCACCTAGGTTTAGTTGTTTACCAATTTGCAAGCTCCACGGATGCCCCGCGCATAAAAGGCCCCAAAAAAACTTGGAGACTCGTGAACGATAAACAGTTATTACATCCAGCCAACACGCGATTTGCCAGTGTTTTTTTTCCGACAAAGTGTAGCCGTTTTGTTTCCCCATTTTTTTTCCAAGTGTTTTAAAGTGTCGAAATGAGATACAGATAAGTCCTGCTATTGCGATATATATCAATCCAGTCAAGTTCAATCGCCTGCCGAAGGACCTAATTTCAGTCATGGCCCAAGCAGAGGCCAAAACCACGTGCACGCGGCGCCGCCGCCAGTATTTATCTGATGGCCAGAATCGGCAGCAGCAGCAACAACAATAATAATAATAATAATAATAATAGTGCTTTTAATTACCGTTTGTGTATTAAAATCGGCTTGGATCGCGTACCGTTAGTCTTGGAGTGTGGCATAAACTTAACTTATAAACCGACCGTGATCATTGTGATCCGCCAAAAGAGCGGCTGAACATTGGCAACAGTTGGCAGATCCTGAATATTTAAAAGCCAAGCATCAGGTGAGTGTTGATCGATTAGTGGGGAGAAAACGCAGATTGGGCTTTCCCATTATAAACAAACATATTAAGCACATATCAATATAAAAAAGCTAATTAAAGTTTTATTAAATATTAAATGCATTTAATTATACTTAATTAACGCCTAAACATAACCGCAGAATATCCCAACTGTTGAGAGCAATTCAAATCGCAATCAAGTTTATTAAATGTAGATTCGCTGAAACCAGAGCCAGCAAGCTCTAAAGTTTATTTAAAGCAATGCAAGTGTCGGCAGTTAATTCATTCGAGTGGCATATTTCATTTGGTGTGACCGCTTTATTGTCTGGCAGTGTGACCAATGCACAATGCAATGCATTATTCGCTGAGGAAACGAAACCTCAGCATATTAATTACAAACAAATTAAAATTTTTGTTTCGCCCGCTGCCCACGCCTTAATTAAAGACGCCAAAGAGTAACGGTAATAACCGACAACGGGAACGACGACCGACGTGGGTTTTTCGTTATACGTTATTGTTGTTTTTGCACTTCCATAGATCCTGCCCGTTGTTGCACTTGTTGTTGCTGGCATAATTGTGCCAGACATCGTCGCTCATTCTAGCTAACGCTCAGACCGCACACTGGAAAAATAAACTCAGTTTCTATATATAATATTTAAAATATATTGCTTAAAAAATTGTCTTATGTATATAACAAAGTTTAGTTCAAAAAATGCCTTAACCCCGCAAATCAACAATTTTTTTCAACATTCAGTATTTTATGAGATATATTTCGAGGCTTTTTCATTATTAAAACATCTTTTTTAATCTAAAATATTAAATAAAATCAATTAATTTATAAAAATTACCAAAATTGTTAAAGTATTTTAAAATGAAATACACTTAGGATCTTTCATTTTTCTGGGTGCGCCCACAGCGCCACCCTTTTGGGCCACCACCCCCTAAAAACCGCCTGCACACGCTGCCTGGCCGTTCCACCATGCCCCTTGGCCACATTTTCTTCTGGGTCCTTGCCTGCTTTTGTTGGCAGGAAAAAATAATAAAAGGAAAAGGGGCTGGCAGCCAGGGGGCAGGCAGATGAAAACTGTGTCGCTTTCGCCTGCGTGCGGTGACTGCAAAACTGTTGCCCAAAACAAATGACTAGAAACATGGCTTGTACCCCTCTTCTTCACAACGTCTATCCCCCCGCGCCATCGCTGATTTATGCCAGCGGCAAAATTATGAAAAATTGTTGCAGCTAAATTTAAAAGAAATCTGAAAGCAAACACAGAAACCAGAAGAAACGAACAACAGAGAAGCGAAAATAAATAAATTCGATAATTTATCCATAAATTCTGGACTCGCAGCATTTTCGGCGTCAACAGCGGACATCCAGCCTTGGGTACCGTTAGTCGTGGCAGTGGTAGTACAAACCATTCCACCCGTTCCGCCCCCCTGCTTTGTAGCAATTAACATGTGCAAATTTCTGGCCACATAAATTTCCGTAAACTGTTTGTTGCTCCCAGCGCCAAATCTCTGCGTCTGTCGGGAGGAACCATAAATTTTGGTGTTCGCGATGGATGGGGAGTGTCCAGGAGCACAAGATCTGCAGATATAGATGGTAAATCTTTCAAGTCAAGAGACCAGATAAGACAGCCAACTTGGCCTAGAAGATCAATGTTTAAAACAGGGTTTTCCCTATATTTTTCTTTATCTTCCTCGACTGACCTTGGAGTTGTCTGTAAGAGTAAGTAAATATAGATAAAAATGTTTTATTAGAAATTTATTCAAATTTTTGTAAAACCAATTCGAAGTCAAGGTCAAAGATGGCTAACTTAAAGTTATCAATCAACAAGGCAAATGTCTTATTAAGAATATGTAAACCATAGACATTTCTTAAAGTGCATTTACCACAAATCGGTTGCCAAAATGTACAAAATGGACACAGAGAAATCAGGCAAATCAAACCGGATCAGGCACTGAAAGATCAAAGCCGAATTAAGTCGAAAGGGAGTGTAATCCCTGCCGCCGGTTGTCATTACTTGAGTGAATGACCCTCCGGCAGTTTGACATCATTAAAAGTATGTACCATTAATATATATATATATATATATATATATACAGATATAAATCGTGTCATTTAGTGGTACTTGAAACTCTTAAGTTGCATTCAAAATTTAAGTGCGCATTTAAATACATGGCTGCGGTTTTCGCTTACCACCAAAACTTGGCGCCCCGAAAAGACCCAGATAGAGATGGATGGATAGATGGAGTGTGTGTGTGTGTGCAAGCTAAGGAGAGTAGCCTCATTTGGTAGAAAGAAAGGGGGGGAGGGTGTGTGGGTCTTGGGGCGAGTTCAAACGAAAGAGATGGGACTAGAGCAGCTGAGCGTGCACCGCAGAGTCAAAGGAGGAGCTCAAAGTGGCTTACGCTTGACTGATTTAATGCATGTCAAAATGTCAAAATATATGCATGCACAAAGAAAACCGTTACATGGAATCCCTTTAACCTCACAGCCACGCCTCTGTTTCACCCAAACCGCCTCCTGTTTTCGGTCACAGATTCTCGGACTCGGAAGTCCCTTTGCCACAGTCAAAACAATTATAAATGATAAATGTCAAACAGAGATGGACAGTGGCAAAAAGGAGGCAGATGACAGATGCTACACAGTAAGAAAACAAATAGTGAGATCATGTTAGAGTATATATATATATCGGAAAAGGTTATGAGGTTATCTGAACAATTTGGTTATAGATCAATCTACTTTGTGTATAGATCAGTTTCGGAAATAACTATTATTGTTTATGGTGTATAAAAGGAGAAGGAGTGCAAGGAGGAACAGAGACAGCGAAAGCTTGCAACATTTAAATATGCAAACTTGCAAACAAACACACAGATAACTCACACACATTAAACTTAATTTGGCGCAGCTCATTAATAAAACACAAGCAGGCAAACAAACAAACAAACATGCATATACATACACTGAAACCTAGGCGGAGAGCCATTAAAACTTTAAAGTGTTGTCGCTGGGAGAAAGCGGTAGCGGTAGCGGTAGAAAGTGGGTGAAAGCTGGCGATTCTCAGAGGGGGTGGGGGAGGTTGGTGGTGTTGATGATGCTGGTTGGCTGACATAATTTATGCAAAATATAAACCGAGCGACAGGCAAAAACAACTTATTAAAAAATACGTACAACAAACGAGCGACAGCTATAAATAACCTGGCCAAGTAAAAACCATGAGAGAAAGGGTGTGGGGGGGGGATCCCCGGCGAAATGTCGGGGGAGTGCTGGGAGTGGAGAACTTTTTTTCAAGTGGCTGTGAAACTGTAAACATTTTCCAACTGCCTTGCCACAACGATTTCCCCAGGACAACGAAGCATATGCACTGTGGCAGGACTCGGGGGAAAAACCAACAGGCATCATACTATTTAACACATTAAAAATGATTATTATTACGAAAGGAAGCTGCAAAGGATGCCTAGGAAACTTTTCATTTCATTTTGATTTGTAATTACAAAGTTTATGGATAGAATTTTGAAGTCAATGAAGCCATATTGACTTTTATTAGTTAATATAAATTGGAAAAACGTAGCCTTACTGTGTATAGTTAATCAAAAAGTTGCATCATTTGATACATCGAAACTATCCCTTTCGAAGGACACCCTTCAGAAACTAAAAAACAAAAGAGGTAACTTTTAATGGTTTCGGTTTGTAAAACTGTTTACCATCCAGAATAAAAAATATTTTATATAAACTCCATTAGAAAATGCAAGAAAAGTTTTTTTTTATTTGCTTTTTACCTCTCCGTCATCAATTGGCTCTTGTGTGCAGTTTTGTTTTTGAAAACCCAAAGAACATAATCCAAGGTATAAGCCTCAGATGTGTGGTGAAAAGTTTGAGTTGTTTTTGGAACTGTTCGGGTTACTTTATTATTCACCAAATCCCATGAGCTTCGTCCTTGAAGGACATTCAGGTTTCGGCTTAGCCAATCGCCTTTTCCTGTTTACTTGTGTTTTACGGCTGTCGCCGCCTGCGGCTCGTCCAAACAATTTTCAGTTTCATTTTCGTTTAGTGTCAAGTGGCAACAAAAACAGCAACAACTAATGGTAATAGCCCTGCACACGACAAGCGACTAAAACTGCTGGAAATAATATCGGGCAACAAACAGTTGTCAGGCCCAGCTGCTTGTTAAGGCGACTCTTTGCTTTTGCTTTTGCTACTTTGGCTGCTTTTCCTGCTTCTGTTGCCTTCTTCTCTTTTAGCCCAAGGAAAAGCAGCTAAAAGCGAAGAAAAGCGGGCCAAGAAGT